GTTTTTAATTAAAATAAATTCAGTGAGTTCAAAAATGCAATTGATTTCATATAAATTATTTCGGAAACATTGCCTGAAGGAGAGTAACTGAGAAGAAATCGTATAAGCAATATCGTCGGGGTATTTAAGGTATAGAACCTGACCCATTTCATATATATCTACCTCATCAGAAACAGAAGGATTCTGCTTGATTCGCGATAGCATGTGATAGATATGGAAATGCGGCCCGGGCCCCCGAGGGCTCGCCACAGTGCTTCGAACATATGGCTCTAGAGGACAAAAATGCAAAACTTCTCTTTTATTGTAGGCAATTTATTCAAACTAGGTTTATTTGACAGAAATGATGAGTACTCTCATTGTACTAAATGATGATGTTCTTAGTCCCACGTTTATGAAAAAAAATCTTATAAATAATAAAAATGTTGGAGCTGTGTTCTATCTAAGGAAATAATAATTTATAGTATGAAAACGGTGTAAGTATTAAATAAATTCCTGTGATAAAAAAGAATTGGAATAACATTAGAACGTGATTCCTACAATATAAGCCTAATATAAGATAAAAATGTTTTTCTTTAATGAAAAAGAAACTAATGTTATATTTAATAAAAAAAAACTTAAGATACTATAAATTTACTTTAGGACAACAAAATGCATAGATCGTAACTACTCTGATTCAGAAGAATCATTGCTGACAGAACCTTCCAAATTTATAGTATCCAAATCACAGGTAGATGAAATATCCTCACATATACGATATTTCTGTACATCATTTTCTAATATGTTACTTTTTCGCGTTGTTACTGTTCTTTTTGTTGGTATGAGGGGTTCGGATGTTAATAGTTACCTCTTTAATAGACCATATCCATATATTATTTTTTCGTTTTCTTTGGTATGAGGTTTTATAATAAATTGAAAGATGGAAACATTTTTTATGCCACATTTCGCTCCAACATAGTGAGCTCAGGCACAAGTGGTTATAAAATTGGACTGGAAGGTTCATCAATATCTAATAAAGAACACATTTTTTGAAATATAAATAATTTTGAGTTCTTGTCCTTATGATTAAGCCAAGTATTAACCAGATCGGCATTGCTTATCAATTTTACTCCATCTGAAAAGTATTAAAAAATAAAGTCCGTCGCAAGCGGACGCAGGTGAACTATACAAAAATTAAAAGTGTATGAATATGGCAACAAAAATATTCAATAAATACGATATGTTTTGATATGTTTTTTTTAATGACTTTTTGAAGTTTGAAAACGTAAAATTTTTATACCCATTTAAGAATCATCTTAAAAAATAAATAAAAACTAAACAATAACGAACTTGTTTAGAAATAAATTTAAAGTACATACCTTGTTTAACAATATCCATAGTGGCTTTCAATTAAGTACATACCGTTTAACTCCATATACAGAACTACTATGAATGTTATTCTTTTTACTAATATAAGATAATGATCGCAAAATTTATTTTTAGTGAAAATATTTGCTAATAAAAAACGCTGTTTATGAAAAATAATATACAGGATGGTTGAACATTGCTATAAGTATAAAATTACATATTCAGATATTAGTAAATTTTAACTTTTTTTTCGATTTTTGTCCATGGGACGAAGCACTGTGGCTCGGGCCCGTGTGCTTCGCACACACGGCACATCGGTAGTTACGCCACTGTAACTGAACAGGTAACAATGCAAAACTAGATAAATGCCAACATTCCTTAAGAAGTTGTCAACCTACGATTTTATTATTGTCAAATGTAATTTGTTATGCTCTCTACGCTATTACGTTATAGTACCTAGGACCTACGGTTGGTGTCCACGAAATGCATTTTATAATTTAAAACTTGTTCGAATTAATCAAAAGCCTAACGTATAGAAAAAAATTAAATTTGAAATTGACAAAATCATAGGTTGACAACTTAAGATATGTTGGCATTTGTCCGGTTTTGCATTGTTACCTGTTCAGTTTCAATTTAAACATAGATGCAGTTTTTATTAAATTTGGCATGTGTATTCAGCCACAAGAGACCTTTAAAAAACCTATTTACGACTTCGCTGTACACATATACATATACCGCCATTACTCGCTGACGAGTATTTGACACGCATCAGAAGATGGCACGCAAGGCGTTTTCTTTCATGAGCTTTTCTGTTACTTCGCTGTAATATCAATAGGAGAGCCAATATTTTGACAAGTCAAAATTTGCATGGGGTTCTCTGGTTTCCAACGCGTGTACACCACCCGGTATGTATGAATCAAGTTTTATTATGAACCATTGTTTTTATGAAAGTAAAGCTTCATTCAGAACCTGGCAATTAGTGGAGTAAATTAGTGGTTTCAATTAGCGTAGAAGTTTGTTCCTCTAATTTGAATGTAAGCATTCAGAACGTTAGAATTAGTGGTAGGAATTAGTAGTGGGAACTATCGAATGAATACGATCGAAACATTCGATAGTTGCAATTCATTCGAATAATTCGATAGCTAGTAAGAAAACATTCGTCGAAAACTATTCGAATAAAAATTATCGAATAGATGCGTCATCTGCCTTGAAATATTGTATTCTAGTAATTCGGCAGCAAAAACCATTCATTTATAAAATTCATTCATTTACTCAAATTCATTTATTCGTCAGATCGATTTTAATAAAATATAAACTGGATTTTAGTTGTCGTCCGGCGACGTAGGTTTCTTTCTCTAGAAACCCGACAGCGGTCGGTGGCAATGCTATGAAAGAAGCCGGCATCTTTTGATTTTTTGCGGAGTCTAATAAAGATAAGGACACATTATTTTTTTATTGAGGTGCTAGTATTTACACAGAAAATACATTATGAATGGGCGCTGTTGCCATATATTCGTATTAGTTGGTATTAGCAAAAGAATATTTTTCTTTAGCATTAGTTAAAGTTAGGCATAGTATGTCTATATGTTTTGCATTTTTTTATTAATATTCTGTTGTTACACTGCAATAATACTTTTTATTTGGATGTAGGAAAATTATTTTTTAATGTTTTAATCAAAGACTGGCATAATAAATAATAATAACACTAATAATTTTTATACAAAAATTTAAAATCATTAATAATATAAACATTTTTTTTAAGTAGTATCAAAATATAAACAACAAATAGAAGTCAAAAGTATTTATATTAGATCCTATTTAAAAATAATATAGTCTCTAAATGGCAATGTTGGTTTATTAAATAATAATAATTACAGAACTAATTTGTTATATTAACAACAAATTTTAAAATCATGAAATATAAACATTTATTAATTTTCTAAGCATGCAGTGTAATGGAAGGAAAATATAAATAAAAAATTAGAAATCAAAATTATTTATATTAATTTTTATTACTTAATATTACTATTTAAAAATAATATTTACTTTTACTGGCATTTACTTTAAAAAATAAATGAAATATTTCTTCGCAAAAAACTACATGTAAGAGAATTAGCATAAACAAAATACAAACATTGTTAACATTTGTTTTTAAATTGGCACGTGTAAAACTTTCAATTTAATTTTCTCACCCCAAAATTTGAGTTTGATAACCCCATTTACTTAACCACATTACTTAAATATGATGATTAAGTTCAACTAATTCATATTATTAAAACGTCTAAAATACAAATATGTATTTTTAAAATTAATTGGAAGTTCATCTCATCTCTCTTAAAAATTGCTACTTCTCAAAATTTCCCATTAAAAAATGTAATCTAATCTAACCATAATATACATACAAAATTAAATAATTGAAAGATCGGGCTACGGAAAATCAAACAAATTTTCGGAAAAATTTTGACCACTTCGCACACAATCGTCAATTAAAAAAAACTACTATTTTAGTATTTTAAATATTTTAATAAATGCAAAAATAGCATAGTATTTACAAGGCGAAGTTATAAAAATTTGGAAGAATTAATAATGCACTGACGCACACAAAAATCAAACGAATACTAAATTTCATTTATCAAAAGCATTCGATAGTCGTGGCTCGTGGCGCAACGATAACCATTTAGTCGCACGGCGAGGTTGTCACATATGCTTTAGTATACAAATGAATGAATGATTTTATTCGAATGAAACCATTCGATAGTTGAAATCATTCATTCAGTAACCATTCGATAGTCTAATTCATTCGATAGTTCCCATCGCTAGTAGGAATTTTCAATTAGTGGAAAAATTTACCAATCTTTTAACTTTTCAATTTTCTTTTAATTATACTTTAAAATTTGCGAGGAATGTCATTTTGGCCTTTGGTTATCATCCGTCAAGAGAAAATGTGGTTATAAATCAAAAGTTTATTGTTTTATAAGCTTAATATTAGACTTTCTCTATGGATACAACCCTTATACAACTGATTACCACAAGTTGTTGCTATAGGATATTCTATTAATTTTAATTGTGTTTTTTAAAGATTGTGAATGATCGTAAACTAAAAAGTATAAAGTGTAATTGAAACCACTAATTTATACACTAATTGCGAGGTTCTTAATGAAGCTTAAACCAGTAATTTTAGTAATAATATTTAAAACAATACATTCTGGCACCTTCGCCAGGTCATCAATTTAGAAATCCATGCCTAAACATAAAATCATTTATCTGACAATTAGTAAAACACTGACCTTCACTTACAAAACTATTATTAAGGTTCCCTTTCAACTGAACATTACTAAACAACAAACAACTTAACAGTAGATGTAGATAATTACTTATGTATTAAAAATACCGAATAACGAATTCTAAGAAAATCTAAACTATGTTTAGTTTTCTGAAACGAAATACATAATCGGTTGAAATTTAAAATGTCCCTATCAAAATGTCTATTAACTGTAATACGAATGTGATTTTAATTGAATTAATTCAATTATACCATTTGTTTACTTTTTTTGTGATATATGAACAACTCTAATAATGTGATGATGACCAAAATGTATTTTGAGAATATCTATAGATATCATTTGAGGGTGTAATAAGGATGTTCCTTTTTTTAGTAAAAAAGAATATGTGACGATGAAGAATTTTAAGATCAATATAAAGGATCCTAGCAGAATTCAAAGTGCAAGAAATCGTTTTCTGAATTTAGTGAGTTGTTGGAAAACCAGTAAAGATGAAACAAGTGTTGTTTTAAAGGATTACAGATCGTCGAAAGAAGAATTTGCTATAGAAGGTAAGTCATATTTTAAATGACTTAAAACTAATGACTGAAATTCACGTAGGTACATGAATTATTTATATTTTAAATGCATACAGGGTGGTCCGAACTGTATTCCGGAAACTTCGGCAGCATATTTGGCAGATAAAAGTAAGCAAAAAAGTTCGTATAAATGTATGTTCTAAAATGCTTAGTTTCGGAGATACAGGGTGTATAAATTTCTTTTTTGAGATTTTTTCCCAATAATTTCTGAAGTAACGTCAATATTTAGATGAAAATTGGCGTTTGGGAGTTTTTTGGCATGAGAAATTTGTTTTTGTCAATATAACTCCATTTGTAGAGGGCGCCACCTATATGAGTTTTAACTGTTTTGAAGAGTAATAACTTTTCGTCCGTATCTGTATAAAACTATTGGATGCAAAAATATATATTTTCCTGATTTTTTACGTAAAAAATGTCTCTTGGTAAAAATCGCACCGTGCAACTGTTCTCAAGATATTTAAAATGGAAATAGTCAATACATGTCATTATTGACAAAAAATAAACATGTTGAGTAGGTAGATAGTTATTTGACTGAAATGATAAATTTGGGAACTTTTTATTTTTTTAATTAATTATAAATTTTTCTCCGAAAAAATGATGATAAAACAGTTTTTGTTGAACTTTTGGCATAGAAACATTTCAAATTTCTGATTTCAGTCTAAGGACTATTTAGTCAACATATTTAATGTATGCGAATGACGACAGGTATTGATAATTTCGATTCCAAATAACTCGAGAACCATTACTCGTAGCGAGTTTTAGCAAGAGACATTTTTCACGTAAAAAATGTCGTAAATGTATATTGTTTTACTCAGTAGTTTTATACAGGTACGGATAAAAAGTTATTACCCTTCAAACAAGTTAAAAACATGTAGGTGGCGCCCTCTACCAATAGGAGACATATTGACATCCAAATCCCAAATTTCTCATGTCAAAAAACTGCCAGACACCATTTTTCATCCAAATATTGATGTTACTTCAGAAATTATTTGGAAAAAATCGAAATAAAAATGAAACTTCTACACCCTGTATCTTCGAAACTAAGCATTTTTGGACATACATTTATACGAACTTTTTTACTTATTTTTATCTGCAGAATATGCTGCCGAAGTTTCCGGAATACAGTTCGGACCACCCCGTATACGTATTTAGTAATGTTAGTAACCTGATATTTGTCTTTAGTAGACCTGATCATTTTGAACTACAAAATGATCTAAAAATAATGGCGTCAGCTATGGCTATGAAATGAAGATCGCTGTCTTTTTATACATAAAGTTATATGTGCACTGTCATCCACATATAATTTTTTCCATTTCGATCATACGGTTCTTCTAGTGCACCAATTTTGATGATTTTTAAGCATGTTTTTAATACTAAAATTGGCTGTAAATCGTTACACTGTTTTCTTCAAAAGTAAATATCTCCAATAGAAATACAGCTATTGAATAAATAAATGCAAGTTGATGACAGATACTTCTTTTTAAATTCCGTAGTTTGTTAAACAATTCCACAGGATGTTTTACACTTTCCCCAAAATATCAACATTTTGTTTTCTCTTGTAATAGACTGAACGAGAACTTTTAATTTAAATTTAAAAGAATCTAAACAGTCGAATTAGCAGCAAAAATAGGTATATAAAAATTCATTTTTATAACAGTCATAAAAATTATAATACTGAGATTCTTCAAAATTAATGTTAATTAAAAAAATAAGTAATAAAAATTAAAGTGTGTTCTATAATTTTCCCATTTACAAATTGGCATGGTAAAGGAATTTCCACAGTAAAGTGACAATTAAATCTACAATAAATTGTTATTAAAATGTTTCTATGGAAGAAACCTTGTACGTTCTGACCTTAAGGTTCTGACCGGTTAAAACATTATCTGTGTTAAATTAATTCAGAGGAAAATAATTTGAATGCAGTATTACCACACCTACCGCTATAATTATATAACATACAGGTGTTTAAACTAAGATAACTCATAAACAAGATTTTAGTCTTCTTGCACTTTCTCTGACTCTTTAATAAAAATCATATTAAAACAGTTATATTATGTAATTCCTATAATAAAAGAAGCCAACCTGTTTCTTTCAGGCCTTTTGTTAACTGATCTGCCCTTCCATGTCAGGTTTGATGTTTAAAGTTTTTACAAAATTGCGTCTAACATAAAATTTATCATGATTTTATGTATCAGTACATTATTTTTTAATAAACAGTGTGATTCCAAGATTTCCAAGATTTTTACACATTTAATTTATTTCTTTAATTAGAATTATACCGTGTGGTTTTAGAATTGGGTCTTGATACATTGTACAAATGTACGTTAAAAATTTTGAAATACTCTAAATACAAAAAATGTTAATTTTTTAATTCGCCATCTATTAAAAAAATAAAAAAAAACGAAGAAAAATTATTTTATATTTTAGAAACTATGGCGTAGAATTTTGAACATCCTGTATGATTTACGATTACCATATTTATAGCAAAGTAAATACAGCCCATCTAAAAAAATACCTAATATGGTTTTAATTTCAGGATGGTTCTTGAATTTTTAATCATTTTTGTTAAGGCTGAAAAAAATGTACAGGGTGGCGCACCTCGTTCGGTTGATTATACGAAAATGGAAAGATGTAGAAATAAAATAGCAATTTTTTAGTGACACTTAGTAGCTATTTTTAAAATCGACATTAGTTTATGGACTTTATTTAAACTTATAACAGGTTATTTTTATTTATTTTTTTAATCAATTTATTTATTCCCTCATATAAAACATATATACAACACATAAATAATGTACAGCATATACATATCATAGAAAATCTGGGTGTCGTCCTTCTTCATATGTCGCAGCATCAGTGACCTGATGGTACCAGATCCTGGCCAGATGGTATCGAAGGCATTCTTTTCTTAATTAATTTTGTCGTCGATTTCTGGATTTAGTGTAGTGTTGGGAAAATTCGAATTAAATAATACGACTAATTCGATAGTAAATTAAAACTAACTAATTCGAATTATCTTTTTCGATATAATCGAGATAAAAATTAGTAGTATTTTATATTATATCTGTGGTAACCGAATTACAAATGAACATAAAACATAACCTCTTATGGACGAATACGAATATTAGTAATTAGTAATTAGTATAGTACTATTAGTAGTATTCTTTCGTTCTGAACGAACTGAAAATGTTCACTTAAACTGATTTATAAAGGGAATCGACAAAGAAAGGAACGATCCGATATAGAAAAATCCAGAAATCATTGTTATTTCCTATACCACGTAGGAATAAATCAGTTTAAGTGAAAATTTTCATTTCGTTCAGAACGAAAGAATACTACTATTATTTGGTTCATTTCCATCTCACCCAAATTTCACCGAACACCTGCCAAACAGTAAAATTAATTTTCTTCTTTTATCTAAATAATTATTGATTGCAACTGATAAAATAAAAAGAAATACGAACCGCACGTAAACAAGGACATACTTATATCGTTTTAGAAGAAGCTTTTATTTTAGATATGAGCTTTTCAATAGGAATTGAAACAATCATAAACTCGGCACTTTTAAATTTAAAACTTTAAATTATGGTTTAATTTATTAAACGGCTTCGGCACAGTTAATAGAATACATTGAATAAAGAATTTTTTTTATTTTTTATTCAGTGATAGAATAGAGGTATGGCAATGGTTCAGATTTGTTTAAAATAGCCCCTAGACGAGCATTAGCTGGGACGAATTTATTTTTAGGTTAAATTTATAATACTACTAAATAATTCGAATTATTAATTCGATTGTGAAATATGAATTATTACTAATTATTCGATGGTGAAAATAATTCGATTATTCCCATCACTAATTTAGTGTATGGTTCTATTTAATATTAACCATTTAATCCTTTTTTTGAATTGTATAAATTTCAATTTTTTTACCTCCTCTGCTAAACTATTGAATGTTTGAATTGTTTTTGTTGTTAGCCTCTGTGTTATTGTCTTATTTTTTACTTTATGGCTTCTAATATGTGACTTTCTCCTTGTTTGGTAATTGTGAACTTCCTTGTTTGTATTTAATTTAATATTCGTTTTTATAGTATTGTTTTTTATTTTATACAGCAGTAGCAAGCTATTAAAAAGTATTAATTGTTTTATATCTAGTTCTTGCACTGTATCAAATAATATGTGTGTTGGTGTTTTTTTGTGTTATTTATATATTAATTTTAAAATTTTATTTTGTTGACGTTGCAATGCGTTTAAATTCTTTTCGGTCGTATTACTACATATATTCATTAAATAGTTCATCCTTGAGGTAAACAGTGCGTGATATAAAGGTTTCAAATATACCTACAAATAGGATTTTTTTGACAAGCGTTCCTTTGAAAAACTACTTTTCCTATTTCGCATAGCTGATAGTGTGGTATATGAAAAACCTATTAGACAGAAACGTGTCGTTGGAAGTGAAGAAAATGAATTTGCCTGCTTAATTGATTCTTTTATAGAAAATCCAATATATCTACAATCTACAAGTCATCGTAATATAAATCAAAGAACTACTTCTTTATTTTTCTTAATAAAATAATAAATACTTACTTATTAAACTATTGTAGGTAAATTAAATAAAAGTAAACTGTTATAAACTTAAATGAAGTCCATAAACTAACGTCGATTTTGAAAATAGCTACTAACTGTCACTAGCAAATTGCCATGGCGGCGACACCAACCATCTTGATTACCATTTTATTGAAAAATCGCTTTTTATTCAAAATCTGAGCCAGATAGGTATAGGAAACCCTAATATAGTTTGAAAGGGCATTTAAGTCTGCTTCGACTTATTTAAAAAAATACATAGTGTTGTATTTGAAATAACGAAGATTTTTTATGTAAAATAAATATTTAAAATAGACCAGCAATTTTTGATACCCCTGTATACATTTAAGGAAGCAATCAATTTTTTTAGTAAATTTTATTTCTCCGGCTTCAAAAAAATCAGCACAAGAATTTACTCTGAAAAGTAATGTACAGGGTGTTGACAAACTTTTTTATTATAGCATGCATATTTAAATATTTTTAAATATCTCAAAAACCAAAGCATTTAAACATATGAAACCCTTATAATAAATGTCTTATTTTATGCCTAAATCCAAAAATGAAATAAAATATCGGGTGTTCCATAAGAAAAAATATAACTTTGGTATGGATGTTAGTTCTGACACACCTATGCATAATAATTATAAATTATGCACATTGCCTCTCTACATATATCCACAAAAAAATGGCCGAGGCGAATGAAGTGCGCCACCCTGTATATTTTATTTATTTATTAATATCTCTGAAACTACCCAAGCAGCATTTGGACGTCGGGACAACGTTCTGCCACGCGACCAAACGTCGGGGCGCAACGTCGGCACAACCTCGTGCCAACCCTAGTCTGCACTGGTTTGGAGAATAATTTTTGGGTCGAAACGACGTTGGATACCGACGTTGGCTAGAAGCCTAATTTAGTACAAACTGCAACGTTGTTTAAAATCCTAATTCACAGAAATACAAAACTAATATGGCGTCTAAGTCGCGTTTATCCTAAATTGGGATAATTATAGTAAAAATATTATATTTATAATTTAGTTAGAGACATATGTCAGATGGCAGTGAAGGAAAACAAAACAAAAGTATTTAAGTGTGGAGGATGTTTGAAGATCATAATTATTGAAACACTTTAACCGACTCTGTAACTCGTTACCCAAGGTAAAAAGTTAAACGCAAACAACTTTATTGATAAATGTATTGTTTCTACTTTAAAAAATACTAATGGGCCTTGAAATTAAAGAAGTTTTAAAAATTTTCTTGAATTTTTTTTTTAGTAAAATGAGAATAATTTATTCGCATTCGAAAAAATTGTTTCCGCGTATTTTTTAGGGTCAAATATTTCAAGTTAATGTATTCAAAAAGCAGGAATTGCTATTTTAAGAACGAAACATTTTCTTATTTAACAACATGGCGGCTTTAACTTTGTTGTTTTGGAGATTAAGATGGAGTAGTTCGAGTAGTCGCATACTGGACTAATAAAGTCGCAGTTCGGCCTTAACAGGTAGTATACTAGTCGCAAGATTGCCTAATTTAGTCATTCTAGAGTCTAGCTTGTGCCGCCCTCTATAATCTAAATAAACGAGGAAGTGTCGGTAATATATGTCGATGTATATTTAAATTTAGTTTTATATGTACCTTTCTTATGTCCCATTTTAATTAAGTTTTTTTTTTATAAAAACAAAAACAGCACTGAACTGTCTGACTGAACAGAACAATGAATTGAAAATTTAAGATTTAAGGTTATGGTTCAATACAGTTGCAAAAAGGTAGTGACTCTACGTCCTACCAACGTAAGAATAAGGAAATCTAAACAACGTTGGAATTAGTAAAACAGACGACGTTTGCATAACGTTGGAATAGGTCCTGAAACTGACGTCGGAAAACTCTATATTATCCAACGTTGTAACTACGTTGTCCGAATCACCTAAAGATCACTTAAGCAAAAAAGGTTACAAGACAACGTTTATTCGACGTCGCAGAAGCTTCCTACTTTGCTGTAGTACTAGTCCAACGTCGGCACAACGTTATAAAAACGTTTAAATTTATTTTAATACCCAAGGTAGGGAGCTTACTATTTTTTGTAACTAATCCAACGTTGTGATTAATAAACATGTGGTCGCAAGTCGTGAAAATGCTACTTGGGTATCGAAGTATATTTACTCATAAGAAAGGAAGCCTAATAAAAAAATCATCTCGATCCACCCATACTTTTTTGAGCCACCCTATAGAAGTTAAAATATTTTCCTGAAATACATCCTAGTAGATATTTTAGAATTGCACTTAAATAAAATTCTCAAGTCTTTCATTCTAGGAGTTACAGATGCCCGACGCACTATTGCCAGACCCTGTAGGTCTAATCTGACAGAATAAAATTGATTATACCAATAAATCATGATAACTATCTCATTATTTTTAGGTTGTGGGTCTCCACCATCAACAGAATACATATTTGACTTCTACGAAAACGTTTCAACAAATAATCAACAGAACATTCCACTACATTACGAACTCATCAAGCTCAACCTTGTAGAGCTCACCAAATTTATTTCTGGAAAAAGTTCTTTCTTCGATGATATCGACTGGCAAATTATTGGTAATGATAATCTCGAAGGAATATTTAAGGATGTCAGTGAAGCACAGTTGAACGTTTCTTTTCTATGGAGCGCTTTCATCCAGAGATGGGATTTATTGGAAGGATTTTTGAAATTGGGAGCCTCAATTGAGTAAGTGTGTATAGCGAAGTGTGTGGCGATTAGTGAAGATATACAGGGTGGTCCGAACTGTATTGCGGAAACTTCGGCAGCATATTCTGCAGATAAAAATAAGTAAAAAAGTTCGTATAAATGTACGTCCGAAAAAGCTTGGTTTCGCAGATACAGGGTGTAGAAGTTCCTTCTTTATTTCGATTTTTTCCAAATAATTCTTGAAGTAAAGTCAATATTTGGATCAAAATTGGTATCAAAATGGGTTATATAATGGTAGTATAGGAGTTTTTTGACTTGAGAAATTTGATTTCGATGTCAATATGACTCCTACTTGTAGAGACCACATACATATTTTTTAACTAGTTTGAAGAGTAATAACTTTTTGTCTGTACCTGTATAAAACTAGTCAGTAAAAAAATATACATTTACGACGTTTTCTACGTAAAAAAGGTCTCTTGGTAAAAATCGCTACTAGTAATAGTTCGCGAGATATCTGAAATCGAAATTATCAATACATGTCATCATTGACATAAATTAAACTTGTTGACTAAATAGTTATTAGACTGAAATCACAAATTTGAAATGTTTTATGCCAAAAGTTCAATAAGAACTGTTTTATCATATTTTTTTCGAAGAAAAATTTATGATTAATTAAAAATCCCAAATTTATCATTTCAATCACATAACTATCTACTCAACATGTTTATTTTTAGTCAATAATGACACGTATTGACTATTTCCAATCTAAATATCATAAGAACGGTTGCTCGTAGCGATTTTTACCAAGAGACATTTTTTACGTAAAAATCACGGAAATATATATTCTTTCACTCAGTAGTTTTATACAGGTACGGACGTAAAGTTATTACCCTTCAAAACATTTAAAACACATGTAGATGCGCCCCCTACATAGGAGTCATATTGACATCAAAATTAGTAGTGGGAACTATCGAATGAATACTATCGAAACATTCGATAGTTGCAATTCATTCGAATAATTCGATAGCTAGTAAAAAAACATTCGTTGAAAACTATTCGAATAAAAATTATCGAATAGATACGTCATCTGCCTTGAAATATTGTATTCTAGTAATTCGGCAGCAAAAACCATTCACTTATAAAATTCATTCATTTATCAAATTCATTTATTCGTCAGGATCGATTATAATAAAATATTAACTGGATTTTAGTTGTCGCCCGGCGACGTAGGTTTCTTTCCGAGAAACCCGACAGCGGTCGGTGGCAATGCTATGAAAGAAGCCAGCATCTTTGATTTTTTGCGGAGTCATATAAAGATAAGGACACATTATTTTTTTTATTGAGGTGCTAGTATTTACAGAAAATACATTATGAAGGGCGCTGTTGCCATATATTGGTATTAGTTGATATTAGCAAAGAATATTATTGTTTGGCTTTAGTTAGTTAGCGATAGTATGTATAAATATTTTGCATTTTTTTATTAATATTCTGTTGTTAGGTTAGGTTAGGTTAGATAATAAAATATTTTGGATGTAGGAAAATGATTTTTAATGTTTTTACGCAAAGACTGGTTTAATAAAAATAATAATAACAGTAATAATTTGTTATACCTATAACAACAAAATTAAAAATAATTTAATCTAAACATCTTTTTACGTAGTAGCAAAATATAAACAACAAATTAGATGTCAAAATTATTTATATTAGATCCTATTTAAAAATAATATAATCTTTAATTTTTTTGTGTCAACGTTGGTTTATTAAATAATAATAATTACAGAACTAATTTGTTATATTAACAACAAACTTTAAAATCATGAAATATAAACATTTATTAATTTTCTAAGCATGCAGTGTAATGGAAGGAAAATATAAATAAAAATTAGAAATCAAAATTATTTATATTAGGTACTTTTATATTACTATTTAAAATAATATTTACTTTTACTGGCATTTACTTTAAAAATAAATGAAATATTTCTTCGCAAAAAACTACATGTAAGAGAATTAGCACAAACAAAAACAAACATTGTTAACTTTTTTAAATTGGCACGTGTAAAACTTTCAATTTAATTTTCTCACCCCATAGTTTGAGTTCGAGAACCATTTACTTTCATCAACTAATTCGTATTATTAAAACATCTAAAATACAAATATGTATTTTTAAAATTAAATTCTAAGTTCACCTCATCTCTCTTAAAAATTGCTACTTCTCAAAATTTCCCATTAAAAAATAGACCATAATATATACCATATAAAATAAAATAATTGAAAGATCGGGCTACGGAAAATCACACAAATTTTCGGAAAAATTTTGACACCTGCACACGCACACAATCGTCAATTAAAAAACTACTAATTTAGTATTTTAAATATTTTAATAAACGCAAAAATAGCACAGTATTTATAAGGTGAAGTTATAAAAAGTTGGAAGAACTAATAATGCACTGACGCACACAAAAATCAAACGAATACTAAATTTCATTTATCAAAAGCATTCGATAGTCGTGGGGTGCAACTTTGTTCAAGTTAGCAACCGATCGTTTAGAAGCGATGTCGAAACCAGATCGGTACTATGTTCATTGAAATACTATTGTCGCTCAAATGCTGCGAAATATGGTATCACTATCACACTCTTGCACACGTGTCTAGACTGTCGCCTCGCCACAAAGCGAGAAATCAGAATATCGCGACGAATCGATGTTGCTACTGAACATAGTGCATCAAGCTACAAATTACTTTGCTATCGCTTTGAAACATGAACAAAGTTGCACCCGTGGCTCAACGATAACCATTTAGTCGCACGGCGAGGTTGTCACATATGCTTTAGTATACAAATGAATGAATGCTTTTATTCGAATAAAACCATTCGATAGTTGAAATCATTCATTCAGTAACCATTCGATAGTCTAATTCATTCGATAGTTCCCATCGCTAATCAAAATCAAATTTCTCATGTCAAAAAACTCCCAGACACCAATTTTCATCCAAATATTTATGTTACTTCAGAAATTATTTGGAAAAATCTAAATAAAAATTAAACTTTTATACCCTGTATCTCCGAAACTAAGTATTTTGGGATATATATTTATATAAACTTTTTTTCTTATTTTTATTAGCTAAACATGCTGCCGAAGTTTCCGGAATACAGTTAGTTCGGACCACCCTGTATATAGATTTTGGCCAAGAATTCACACATCTTCATTTTTTATTATGTAATGGTATATCAAGTTAAAAACTTTGTTAACAAATATATTTTCGGTTTTCAGCTATTATGAACCTACCTATGGACTTGGAGCTCTGCACCTCGCTGCTTTCAGCGGCTGTACATTTGGTGTTGAATATCTCCTTTCTCATATTGGCAGCGATCCAAATGTGATGTACAAATGCTACACTCCGTTACATTGCGCAGTCTTTGGCAATAGTACCGAAACAGCAAAAATACTATTAAAAAAAGGAGCTCATATTAATTTGTTAACTAATGATCTCCAGAACAGTATTGAAAGTGTACTTCATTGTGCAGTCAGAGCCAATGCAGTTGACTGTTTGAAGTTGCTCTGTGACGAAGGTGTGTATATTATGTATGTAAAATATAGAAGTAGAAGATATACAGGTTGTTAACTGGACAGTTACTTATAGGGGAACAGAATGGCAACACTGCCTATTGAGAACGCATGCACTTATAGGGTTTTCTGCCGACACGTCCGGTCGCGTTGAGGTTGCCATATTTCAACCATAAAGCTCTTGCCGGGAGTAATAAACAAATTAACAACCTGTATATACCATATACATATACTAATTCTCACTTTATTCCTGCCGAGCATTAACAGTTCCTTTGTGGTTATACAGGGTGTCCCAGAAATATGAGCAAGTGTTTTAACTGGTAGTATAGTTCAACCACAGAAACACGCCTATGAGGTTTTTTCCCGAAATTTTTTTTTTGAAAATTCGGAATTTTTTGAAATTTTTTTTAGTTTTTATTTAAAAACATAATTTCTTGATAATATGGCAACATAGGTAATAGATTAAATTTACAAGAAAGAAAATCCAGAAAAGATCCAGTAGTTCTGAAAATTTTAGCAAAAAATATTTTTTTTTGGAAATTTTCAAAGTGAAATAATAACTGTGTTATTTTGGGCCTATTTGAAAAACGATAAAGAGAAAATATGTTTCTTGTATCGCGATCTACCACCCCTTGAAATACTTGTACTTATTTCTGGGACACCCTGTATAATGAGGTCTTTGGATGAAGGCCTTGCTATACCTGTGCTCCTGTCTGTTTCACCAGTAGATGACCTAATATAGTAATAAAGAGAGATTCCTTTATCGAGAGTTTCATTTCACTTAGAATCGTACATTTTGATATTCCTAGTACTGGCTCTGGACCAAGACAGGCTTTGGATGATCCTTGCTTTGTCAGGTTGTCCGTTTTTTTGTTGTTTTAGATGCCACTATGTTGGCACTATGATGCCACTATTACTGGCACCAAGAATTATATAATTCTTTTCCTTTCTGCCAAGTCAGTGGAAAGTCCCGATCTTTGGGCTTATCAGCGCCTTGACTGTCTAAGTAGGTTGGTGAAGATCCCGTTCCTTCATGACTTCTGGTTATGTAATGGCTTTAGCAATGTTTCAGTAAAATGTGAAACAGATAGATAAATAGGGGGGGATATACAGAGTGCTACAAATTCAGGGTACGAGCATTGGCTTACTGAAGATGGTTAAATTGGGGCAAAGTTGCGCCTTGGGATGCTAAAACAGGAAAAAATAAAATTGATTTTCAAAAAAATCCTGTTTTTCCAAAAAACTCAGCAATCCTTGAAATTCTTAAAACTTTTTTGATGGTATCATTAAAACTAAAATATATCATCATTAAAACTTTTTTGAGGGTCATATTCGTATCTACTACGGTTACCCAGATACCAATACTCGTACCTCGAATTTGTAGCACCCTGTATACTCGTAGATAGATAGGGTAAAATTATTAAAACGACTATAGATATGTTCATTTTAGGTGCTAATGTAATGCAACAAGATGCTGCAGGAAAAACATCAATACATTTAGCTTCGGAATTGGGATGTAATGAATGCTTAACAATTTTAATTAAACAAAGGGGTGCTGACGTAAATGTTATAACAAAGGACAAACAACAAACACCTCTTCATCTGGGAGCTGAGAATAAGAACTTTAATTGCATCAGTATTTTATTGGAAAATAATGCTAGTCCGGATCTTTTGAATTACAAGTAAGTGTACGTTTAATTTCATTCGGGTTTAAATTAAATAAATTAAGAAAAAAATCAGGATATATCAAACGATACTTGACTCTGCCTAGAATTTTTTTGGAGCGGATTTCACAAAAAAAATTGTAAAGAAAATATTTTTGTACACTTAAAAAAAATATAATTTTTAGAGAGCAGACAGCACTTCACTTGGCAGCTAAAGCTCATGCGTACAAATGTGTGAAGCTATTATTGAAAGAAGCTCTAGCTGATCCAAATGCGGTTGATGTCGATCAACGTACTCCTCTACATTCTGCAGCATGCAAATCTAGCAAGCCTACCTGTGAAACGATCAAAATACTCTTAATGTAAGTTTTAGTCTCAGAATGGGATTTAATTTTGTGCAAGATAATCAACCTCCAACATTAGAATTTAGTGAATCACAAATCACAATTAACTGATGAACCTTAGTCTACTTGAACTCTACTTCAATTGCAACGTATACGGTTTTTTTGTTCAGATTCGTTTTCAACTTCTTTTTTTGTAATCCTAGTTATCTAAGGTAAACATTGTGTGTGCACTATGTGCGCAGGCTAAGAAAATCACTATAATTTATAGTGATTTTCTTAGCCGCGTATGGCACAGATTGTTACCCAGTGTTGCCACAAACTTATTTTTCATCGGGGTAGATTATCACGAGATAGCGGGGTTAAATTCTTGTACAAAGGGATAGATCTACCCCTCTAGCTGTGGCAACACTGCCGCTGTTCACTTCTGCTCAAGGCCGTGTGTCACGTCAATTTTTACTCCCAACGCGCAAACAAGTTTCACTTCAAAAAGGTTTTTAGCGTTCATAAATATTGGTGTTATGATTTAATGTTAAACCGAGATACATTTCCAATTTCTTATCCCTAGACCCTGTAAAGATTATAATTTGTAACGTTATATTAAGTTAATCTACTGTGCTCCTTAGTTACCACCCTAATTTGAAATATCTAGATCACATAATTAAAGCACATGAATAAGTGTTCTTTAAGCTTTAAAATACCTGCAGTAGATTAAGTCAAGCTACTTATTAGTCATTTACTGATTATATTATTGCTTGCTATCATTGTACCAATGAAGATACATTTAATAACAATTCATTTTCAGGTATGGTGCAAAAATAAATTCAAGAGACCGCAACGACTGTACACCTCTTCATCTGGCCATCCTCAACGAAGCCCCAGAGTGTGTCAACTCTCTGATATTATGTGGTGCCGACTTGACAGCGAAGTTATCAGGTCACACCGCCTTAGGAATGATTTGCAGAAAAACACCCATGTGCGTAGACACCATCAGAAAGAAAATGGACGAATCTGTCACCTTCAGCAACCAGAAGACTTGCAAAGAAATTGAAGTGCGCATGGACTTTACGCCGATATTACAACATTGTTATCCTAGAGAGACTACTTTCTTGTTTAACCTGATCGAGGAGAACCAGAAAGAACTACTAGTACATCCTCTTTGCACTGCTTTCTTATTTCTTAAATGGAAGAAAATCAGAAAGTATTATATTTCACGAGCAATATACTACTTTCTTTTTGTCGTGATGCTGTCATCTTATATAATGACAGGGCTAGCTTATAATTGCTACAATTTTAGCAAGAATATTACAGATCCTGAGGTTAACGACTCTAAGAAAGTATGCTTCAAAAACCCACTGCTGGCTAGTTTAATAAGCCAATACCCTAGAGTCATCGAGATTCAGTGGTATATTTTGCTCATACTTTGTAGTGGTATTTTAGTTCGAAAAATTTGTGGGTTAACAGGATATTCATCCTTATATCAGTATTTTTCTCGCATGGAAAACTTCTTCGATTGGAGCATAATTTTAAGTGTATTTCTGGTATCTTTCGTTTACACCGGTAGAACTTACGAGTGGCAAAATCACATCAGTGCTTTTGCTGTGCTTCTGGCTTGGAGCAACCTAATGATTACTTTAGGGCAACTGCCAATATTCGGACCTTATGTTTGTATGTATATTTCTGTACAAAGTGAATTTACAAAAGTGTTTTCGATATTTTCCTGCCTACTCGTTGGTTTTACTATTAGTTTCTGTATTATATTCCCGGAATCTCAGAATTTTTCCAATTTTTTCAACGGTTTTATAACTGTCTTGGCAATGTCCATAGGAGAGCTCGATTTAGATCTGATCATAGAAAAGAACGATCCCTATGAGCTAGAAGGAAGTACTCAAGTTGTTTATACCTTGTTTATACTATGCGTCACTATAATATTATTGAATCTGCTTCTTGGTATCGCTGTTCACGATATTCATGGTCTGCAGAGAACAGCAAAACTTAGTAAACTAGTAAGACAAACCAAATTAATGGCGCACATAGAAAATGCTATGTCCAGTAAACTGTTCAGTAAGAGATTTATATCAGTAATACTTCAATCGACTACTTTGGTGTCTTCAAATGCACATGGAGTGCTTTACGTTAAACCGTTGAATCCCCGTGAAAAGAGATTGCCTAAAGATATACTGCTGGATGTTTATGAATTAGCCAAGAAACATAACAAGAAAAATAGGCATTTTTTGACGCATCCTAATAAACGAAAAGTTGATGAAAATGATAAATTAAAAGATAAACAAATAGTTGCTAAAAATAGACAAACTAATATTAGGGATGAATTAGATGCAATTAAATGTGATATAAAAGATTTAGTTAATGATATGAGTGATATTAAGAATATGTTAGAAGCAAATCATAAAATGATGGTCACTATATTAAATAAAATGAACGATAACAGAATGTGATAACTCCACAAAACATGGAAAAAATGTTTGCAATGACTTGCATGAAACATTACTGTAAGTATAACTTTTCAGAACTATTAAAGAATCTTCTTTGGTCCAAAATTTATCAATTGTCAAAGGTATCCACCTTTAGCAATTGATACACTTTCAGCTATGATGCAAAAATAAATTGAAGAGTCCTCAACGACTTTCGTCTGGCCATCCTCAACGAAGCCCCAGAATGTGTCAACACTCTAATATTATGTGGTGCCGACTTGACAGCGAAGTGATCTGGCCACATCGCCTTAGGAATGATTTGTAGAAAAACACCCATGTGCGTAGACACCATCAGAAAGAAAATGGACGAATCTGTTACTTTCAGAAGACTTGCAAGGAGATTGAAGTCCGCATGGACTTTACGCCAATATTACAACATTGTTATCCAAGAGAGACTACTTTTTTGTTTAACCTGATCGAGGAGAACCAGAAAGAATTACTAGTACACCCTCTTTGCACTGCTTTCTTATTTCTTAAATGGAAGAAAATCAGGAAGTATTATATTTCGAGAGCAATATACTACTTTCTTTTTGTCGTGATGCTGTCATCGTATATTATGATGGGGTTAGCTTATAACTGCTACAATTTTAGCAAGAATATTACAGATCCTGAGGTTAACGACTCTAAGAAAGTATGCTTCAAAAACCCACTGCTGGCTAGTTTAATAAACCAATACCCTAGAGTCATCGAGATTCAGTGGTATATTCTGCTGATACTTTGTAGTGGTATTTTAGTTCGAAATATTTGTGGGTTAACAGGATTGGGTTAACAAGAAAAATAGGCATTTTTTGACGCATCCTAATAAACGAAAAGTTGATGAAAATGATAAATTAATAGATAAACAAATAGTTTCAAAAAATAGACAAACTAATATTAGGGATGAATTAGATGTAATTAAATGTGAGTGATATTAAGAGTATGTTAGAAGCAAATCATAAGATGATGGTCACTATACTAAATAAAATGAACGATAACAGAATGTGATAACACCACAAAACAGGGTAAAAATGTTTGCAATGACTTGCATGAAACATTGCACTATATTCTTTTCAGACTTTAAAGAATATTCTCCGGTCAGAAAAATAAGTAGTCAAAGGTCCGACCTTTAGCTATAGAATTATTATTTTGACAAACATTAAAAAACGAGACTAAACTGTCATTCCTTCGGAATTAATATCAACAATAATTGTCATTACTATCGTTTGTCACTCTAAAATATTCTTTTCGACTTGAAGCATATTGATCTGGCCATATGATAAATGGAAACCTTTTATTAAAAAACATTAATACAATTAAATTGTTAGTTATAAACAGTGGCGGATCCAGAGGGGTGGGGGCATGGGGCCCGGCCCCCCACTAAAATCTGTAAATTATTACGCCAATATTACAACATTGTTATCCAAGAGAGACTACTTTTTTGTTTAACCTGATCGAGGAGAACCAGAAAGAACTACTAGTACACCCTCTTTGCACTGCTTTCTTATTTCTTAAATGGAAGAAAATCAGGAAGTATTATATTTCGAGAGCAATATACTACTTTCTTTTTGTCGTGATGCTGTCATCGTATATTATGATGGGGTTAGCTTATAACTGCTACAATTTTAGCAAGAATATTACAGATCCTGAGGTTAACGACTCTAAGAAAGTATGCTTCAAAAACCCACTGCTGGCTAGTTTAATAAACCAATACCCTAGAGTCATCGAGATTCAGTGGTATATTCTGCTGATACTTTGTAGTGGTCTTTTAGTTCGAAATATTTGTGGGTTAACAGGATTGGGTTAACAAGAAAAATAGGCATTTTTTGACGCATCCTAATAAACGAAAAGTTGATGAAAATGATAAATTAATAGATAAACAAATAGTTTCAAAAAATAGACAAACTAATATTAGGAATGAATTAGATGTAATTAAATGTGTGTGATATTAAGAGTATGTTAGAAGCAAATCATAAGATGATGGTCACTATACTAAATAAAATGAACGATAACAAAATGTGATAACACCACAAAACAGGGTAAAAATGTTTGCAATGACTTGCATGAAACATTGCACTATATTCGAAGACTTGCAATCTCCGGTCAGAAAAATCATCGAAGTAAAGTAAAGTCCGACCAGCTATAGAATTATTATTTTGACAGACATTAAAAAACGAGACAAAACTATTTCGGAATTAATATGAGAACAATAATTGTCATTACTATCGTTTGTCACATAAAATATTCTTTCGCTGAACATATTATTTTCTTATATGATAAATGGAAACCTTTTATTAAAAAACATTAATACAATTAAATTGTTAGTTATAAACAGTGGCGGATCCAGAGGGGGGGCATGGGGCCCGGCCCCCCACTAAAATCTGTAAATTAGGTAAAATATTAGACTTTTGGGTTAAAAATGGCGCCCTAAAAAGCAAATTCTACTTTTGGGCCCCCCTAAAATAAATTCCTGTATCCGCCCCTGGTTATAAACTAAAAAGTGATTTGAATTTGTTTTAATTTATTAGAACTACTTTTTGTAAAAGTAATTTAGTTTCAAGAAATAAGACAAGAAATAATAAACATTTATTTTTTATATACTATATGTTTTAATTTCGAATCGTTTCCTGAAGTTTTAGAGAAATTTTTGTATTTGGGTCACAGCAGTGACCCCAGTCAAGTCAAAAACAATCGTACCATGTTTTTCTCGAAGCAGCTTACTTTTGACACCACTGCAACTATGGCTAAGTGGATATGTTACGGTTAAAGTCCGATGTCCGGTTAATGTCGACATTAACAGGTTAATGTTTGGGTTTGGTTATGTTTTTGGTTATTTTGTTGTGTGTTATTCTTGAGATTAACTGGGTAATATCGACATTAACCGGACATCGGACCTTAACCGTAACAGATATACTGGTTATAATCTAACCAATACATCTGACAAATATACTTTATAGTTTATAAATACCTATAGTCAAAGTTTTTTAATTTCGACAGTGACTTGATATCAATATTCTAAGGTACTTCTATAGAAGTCTCACAAACATCATCAAATTTTGAGGTTAGCGTTGATTGAAGAAATAAGAAGATGAGCAACGGGGCGATTTCATGGCACAAAACCTGTCCGAGATGTGGCTCGCGATACCATCGCCGCTAGTCAACCTGTCCGAGATTTAGTTTAGCTCTTCGCCGCTACGCGTCGTTTATAGCGCAGCGAATAAAGAATACTGTACTGTAGTTCTGCTTTCAGTCGGGGTTGCCGGAGACAGTGTCGCCAGGACTACTGATAAATCCGTAGGTTTACGCATTTTGGGCACAGTACGTGATTAATACGAATTTTCTATTATTAAACAATTTAATATAATATTACAGGGTGGCCCATCGAAAACGTTCCGCAAGGCATAACGGCCAGGATATTTTTTTTCAAAAAAATCCAAAAACGCGTCAATTTTGTTTGTGAGGGTGACAACTTTAGCCCCAAAAATGATTGCAAAATCTTCAACCGTCTAAGCGGGAGTGTCATCCCCCAACTTTTTTCAAAAGGGAAAGGGGGTCAAGTGGCGCCGCAATGAAAAGAGGTTTCTATTCTCTATATTTCCCCGCTTCGTTTTTGAAAATCGGTCGAGTCATTGAGAAAATATGAAGGATTGAAATTTGAAAAGTTTATTTAAACATTTATCAGAGTAAATGATAAGGATAAATTCCTTCGACCAATTTGCTGTTTTTTCTTATTGTTTCTAGATGTTTACGCATTTTTTCACTTGCCACAAGGTTGAACGATCAGGTGCGGTCTCAATATCGTTAAACTGACCCACAATAGAATTTCCAAAAATACCAGCCCGCGACGATCAAAGCGTCTTCGTTGAGTTCTTGTAACAACTGAATTTTGTATGGGTGGAACTTGTGTTTTTTTAATATCCTTTGGACACTTGTACGATTCACGCCGGTCTCATTGGCTAATTTTCTTGTAGTCTGATAACTGTTGTAGTCTGATAACTCTTGTAGTCTGATAACTTGTACTCTGATAACTGTTTAAATAAACTTTTCAAATTTCCATCCGTCATATTTTCTCAATGACTCGACCGATTTTCAAAAACGAAGCGGGGAAATATAGAGAATAGAAAGCTCTTTTCATTGCGGCGCCACTTGACCCCCCTTCCCATTTAAAAAAAGTTGGGGGATGATACACCCCCCCCCCCTAAAGGGTTGAAGAGACTGCAATCATTTTTGGGGCAAAAGTTGTCCCCCTCACAAACAAAATTGACGTGTTTTTGGATTTTCTGAAAAAAAATTATCCTGACCTTTATGCCTTGCGGAACGTTTTCGATGGGCCACCCTGTATGTGGTTAAACAAAGAACGGCGTCAGAGTGGGCTTGGAAATGAAGATCGCTGTTATTTCATATGCAAAATATTACAGTAAATGTCAATAGTAATATTTGTAATTTTCAAGCCAACTAAACGACTTTTTTCGATCATACTAAATATTCAGTACCTATAAAAGAATTTCTATTTTCGTTGTTTATTCTACGTTTAACACGAATAAATTGTCAATACATAAACATGGATTTTTCATCCAAAGGTATTTTCGTCAAACGTATTACAGATATTACACATTTTAATATGGCAACACTGTCGCTTTCAGTTCCACACCGTCTTCGATATGCCTTCGCTAGCCGAATTAGAGAAAATTAGTGTTTTATCCGTTGGCCGCAGAATGAGTAGAGGCTCCACCGTACAGCACTTGAGACGTAAGGGGAAATCAAATCAGCCTTGTCACGAATTCGTCCATTAGGTTGGGTATCTTCCCAATTCTTTTAATCAACGGTTTTAGTATATTATACTAGCGTGCACTTGCTAAGTCATTATAATTATATATAGATATAAGAAATAAAGATGGCCCCCAATATGATTAAAAACAATTTATAACAAAGTTGTTGAATAGTATGAATAACTAACTGGGTTTCACATGAGCTGTCAACTTTTTGTAGTGAATGAATACTAGGGAATGAAGTGAGTTGCAAGACTTGTTTTATGTTTTTGATGGGATATTATTATTCTCTGATTCTCCCAATATGCCAATATGCAAAATGCAAGATCCAGTATATATTCAAAATAGAAAGGATGCATTTTACCAAGTCTGTATAATATTTTTAGATATAAAGTATAAAAATATTTTATTATACATACAAACAAAAGGTAATAACAAATATTTTATCACTATTACAAACTTAATAGGTCATAAATTTATAAATTATTAAAGTATCAAATAAAAATATATATTAACAATGTAATTAATTATAAAGCAATATTTATTTCGATCAAATTATAAAAATTATTAAAATCTAAACAAGCTAAACAAATATTGCCATTAATGGAGATATTTGAAATAATAGAAGCGTTAATTTTAGCGCTAACTGCGTTATTTCTTATTCATCTGTTTCGAATTTATACTTATTTGAATGAATTTCCCACACCATCCTTTACACCAATCATTGGACATGTTTTTGACTACTCAAATCCATCAAGTAAGTAATAGAACATTCCTTTTTTGTTTGTTTGTACTTTGGGCAATTATGTAAGTTCGGAGTACCCAACGAATTTCTTACAATGTGTAAAAGCCTCCATAACAACAACTAGGTGAGAGTGTTACATCATGGATTCCCTGAAAGATCTCTTCCTAACAAACACAGGAGTTAGGCAGGGATGTGTCTTAGCGCCTCTCCTATTCAACATATTCATGGCAGCGCACTCTATTATAATGGACAGCAAACTGCAAGAAAGAGGAATGGGTACCAGATACAGATACGATGGCTGTCTGTTCAACATAAAAAGACTCAGGGCTAAAATACGTATATAATTCATCACAGAACAGGGCTAAAATACGTATATAATTCATCACAGAACTTCAATAAGCTGATGACAGCGCTCTAGATGCAAAAACGTTACAGCAATGACAAGAAATGCTGAACACATATACCTGGGCATACGAGGCTTTGGGCCTTAAGCTGAATATCAATAAAACTAAAATCATATGCACTCTTCCGGAAAATTATAACAATGCAGTAAAAATCGGAGAAGAACTATTGGAATATTTAGCGGAATAACAATTACCTTGGCAGTTTGATTTCGGAAAAGGCCAATATCTCCTATGGACTTCAGCACAGGATTAACGCATTAAACAAGTTACAACAGAAACACCTTAGACAACTGTTAAGAATCAAATGGTACCACCATGTCTCAAATGTATCGGTTGAACAAGCTAGCTGCGAGAGCGCTGAAATCATGATTATTAATTCCGCCTAAGGTTAAGAACATAGTGGAGCGACCAGGATAGCGGTGAGCAAGCAGCGCGATACCGGAGCGGCGAGGAATAGCGAGGTACCTGCAACTTTAATATTTTCATTTGCTTATTGACCCAACAAGCAAAATTTATTGCTGGAACATCGCCAAAACTTCGCAAAGCAAGGTGTAACATTGCTTTTTTCATTGTAGGGAGGTTTAGGCAAGGTGACAGGGTAGCTTAATCTTCCGCCAAATTACATTGCAGTGCAAGGTTGAAAAACACAATATTATTGAAACGTTGCTAATGTAACGTTCAGGAAAGTACTAATTTGAGATGTATTAGTAATATTGTTAATTTTACATCTTATTATCCATTAAACTTTCTATTTTGTTATAACTTATTAACTGACTTATTGCTAAAATAATATAGCAAAAAATAGATAATGTTTGCAATAAAAAACCATTTCATTAGCAACATTAGCAATTTTATGCAATTTTATGTTAACAATAATACATCAGTAATAGGTTATAATCAACAGAAACATTAATGGGTATTAAATTGTAAACTTTCAGATAGGTATAATATACCTATTTTTACTAATATTATATTAACGAAAAACATAAACAATATTGATAAAAATATGCATATCTCTATATCCACTGACTTAGAAAAATTAAAAATGCTCGGTAAATATATCCCTACCAAGAAAGTTGAATTTGTCAAACTAATACAAAAAAAAACAAATAAAAACTAGAAATTTATCACTTACTTGTTTCAAAAACATTTTCGGCTGCTCATTAAATAAGGAATTACTCAACTCTGACCTCTTGAATCGAATATCTAAAAAAAATCTTAAAAGTTGAAGGTCTGAAATAATACAAAATATATATAGGTACAGTACAAACATTATTATATATTTCTTATTCAAAAATACAAAAGGAAAGTATTAAATATATGTACAAGGAAAAGCTTTCATATTTTGTCTTCGCATGTTGAATTGTCTTATTCATGGTTTCAAATGTCTCTTCGGTAAAGTTTTCCAATCTATATCCAATTGTTTCTAAAGTAGTAAAAATAAAAAACAATCATTGTAATATATATATATATATATATATAGCATGAGAAACTTACCTCTTGTGATGTTCCTTATTTTAAGTCCTTATTTTAAAAATCTCAAATGATTAACCAATCCAACATTGACAATAATGAATAATGAATATTATTTGTGATTTTATCATTCTATTAAGAATATATAGGTTTGCCCTGGTTTTATCCATGTTTTATCTACTTCAGTTTTCAGTTGGTTAAAAGCTAAACTAAAATATAAAATTTCCTTTAAAAACAAACAACACAATTTGTTATACTTATTCATAGCTAAGGGTTAATAATACTCACACAATAATAAAATTATACTTACACTTATCGTCTCATCATCATTCTTTGTATATTGTTGGCTATGTAGACCCAATTTATCCTTGCTAATTTCCTAATATTATGGTCCCATCTCAGGTTCAGTCTACTTCTAGGTCTTTAAGTAATTTTTGTGGTCCATAATCTGTTGTTCGTCCTTATTGCCAGATATCCTGCTCATTGCCATTTGAGGGATATGATTCTGTGGATGACATCTATTACCTGGGTCTTTTGTCGTATTCACCCTTTTCTTTTATGGTCTTTCTTGGTTATTCCAAGGTTATTCCCAGCATATTTTGTTCCATTGAAGATTAAGATATTCTCCATCTATCTTTAATCCTTTGTTGGTCCAGTCTAGTTGACAGAAGATTTCTTCTAGTGTTGCTGTAAATAGCTTTGGGGATATCACGTCTCCTTATCGTACTCCTGTGCCAGTTGGAAACTCTGGGGTTGTTTTATATATCATTTCTCTTGCTTTGGTTTTGCTTTGTTTATTTACTTACTCTGGGGTTGTTTTATATATCATTACTCTTGGTTTGTTTACTTACATTTATATTCATCAAAATCTCATTCAAAAAGCATAGAACATGATAGAACGCAATACAAAACACGTCAAAAACAAGTTTAACGTTATAACCTAACCTAACTTTATTTATGACTTTATGATAAAAAAAACGGCTTTATGATAAAAAGTCAGCGATGGCTATGAATTGAAGATCGCTGTCATTTTATATGTAAAATTTAAAATTATTGTATATGGGTAATTTCAGCTGGACGCCGTATTTTTTCGATCATACGGTATGAACATGAACTTGCGCGGATCTTTCATTTGAATCTTTGTTGCAATGTTGCAGAAAAAACGTTTTTATCGCCTTTCAAAAACAATATTTCTGTAGCAAAGTTTCATCAATCACGGCAAAACGTTTACAAATCAACATTACAAAGCAAGCTGTTTGGGGATTATCTGCAATGTTGCAAATGTAATGTGAGGTTTCTCGCTTGGTGGGGATAATTTAAAATATTATCAGTGGCTAAAATTCTGGATAGTTGTGTCGCAAACGAAACGGTTATTCGAAACCAACAAAACAAAAAGTGTAGTGTACATGAAATTTGTACACTACAACATGAAATTTTCAAAACCCGGAGAGATAACTTATCTAAAATGTACCGGTTATGGTGATTACTATCTTTTTGTCCCATCAAAACTCTCTTAGGTTAGGAACATAGTGGAGCGACGAGGATAGCGGCGAGTAAGCAGCGCGATACCGCGTCGAGCAAGCCTCGAGGTGCTGAAACATAGTAGAGCGGCGAGGAATAGCGAGATATTTGTGCAAATTTATTATTTTCATTTGCTTATTGATATAATTTAAAATGTTAACAGTGGCTAAACTGCTAGGCAGTAATGTCGCAAACATTTGGTTAGATGAAGTTTTCAAAAACCCGAGAAAGTATGGCAAATTTTATAACCTTTACGAAAATTTGTTGCCACTTCATCTCATAACTTATCTAAAATGTACCGGTTATGGTGATTACTATCTTTTTGTCCCATCAAAACTCTCTTAGGTTAGGAACATAGTGGAGCGACGAGGATAGCGGCGAGTAAGCAGCGCGATACCGCGTCGAGCAAGCCTCGGGGTGCTGAAACATAGTAGAGCGGCGAGGAATAGCGAGATATTTGTGCAAATTTATTATTTTCATTTGCTTATTGATATAATTTAAAATGTTAACAGTGACTAAACTGCTAGGCAGTAATGTCGCAAACATTTGGTTACATGAAGTTTTCAAAAACCCGAGAAAGTATGGCAAATTTTATAACCTTTACGAAAATTTGTTGCCACTTCATCTCATAACTTATCTAAAATGTACCGGTTATGATGATTACTATCTTTTTGCTCCCATAAAATCTCTCTTACAAATACCAAATCTATTAATTTTTGGGAACCTATCATTTTCCACAGCGCGACAGAGCCGCTCGATCTAACCGCCCGAACAGATAGATTTACTATGTTCACACGTATTTGCCTTCACAGGTTTGTTTTGGACGCGATGTCGCGCTGCTTGATTGCCGCTATCCTCGTCGCTTCACTATGTTCTTAACCTAAGATGGGCTGGTCACGTATGCAGGATGTAAGAAAATCGCCTACCAATATTTCTTCTTTACGGTGAGCTTGTAGAGGGAAAGAGGAAACCGGGTGGACATCTCAAAAGGCACGAGGATATTTTCCACATAAACTTAAAGGGGATAGGCATGCAGAATCAGTGGGAGGAAGAAGCGCACAATAGAACGCAACGGAGAAAAATTGTAGACTCAGAATTGACTAGACTCAAAATTGTCACTCATTGTGAACAACGCAACCAAAAACTAAAGAGGCAACAAAGTAATGAGATTTTTGAACGTCCGGAGTGCGGAAGAGAGATAACATCACGTATCGGGCTTGGTTTGGTTAGGCCTTGCGTAACCATCTTCTGATGCGTGAAAAATACTCGTCGGCGAGTAATGGCAGTAAGTAGTAATATTGAAAGCTTTAAGAAGAGTGTTTTTTAGAAATTAAAAAAAATCGCCCAGTTCCAATCTTGAATCCGTTAATTTGCCCATATAGATAGGTACATTATTTATATTCCTGACAATGTTTTATCATTAATTTCAGTCAAGTCCAAAGCATCTCTTGCAATAATTTAATTTATAAATAAAATAGCTGTTGGTTTTCTTATTATTAACCCTTATTAAAAAAGTAAGTTCAATATCAGACGTGGGCAAACATTAAACAGTTTTGAATTATCTTGTAATTTTGTATTAATCTGATTAATAAAATTTTGTTATTAAGAATTATGCTAAATACTCTAAAGTTTAATTTTTATTAACAATTTATATATGAATCACCTGTAATTACAAATATATTGTATAGAAGCACTAGAAACAATAACCAAAAATGTAATCAAGTGTGGCGGTATTATGCGGCAGTACCTAGGACCACAACATCCTTTCTTGGTAGTTGCTGACAAAGACTTTCTGGAATTTACTTGCAAGAATAATAGATACATCTCTAAAGGGTCACATTACAATTATATTAAACCATGGCTAGGAGAAGGATTGGTAACCAGTAATGGTAAGGTTCATTTTTTGTAAAAGATATCAATATTTACTTTTGATTGAGAATTGAGAAGGACTAATTTTTAATTAATTTGTTGATACGTCTTGAAATTCTTAAAAAAAACATTTCTGTTAATATTTTAGGAGAAAAATGGAAACAGAGAAGACGAGCACTGTCTACAAAATTCAGCCAAACGTCACTTTTGCAAAATTTCCTAGACATATTTAACCAAAAAAGTGACATTCTCTTAAGCGTTTTGGATAAGTACCATAATAAAGATGTCAATTTACAACCTATTATGAAGAGATTTACTTTCGATATTATATGTGGTATGTTTAAGCCGTAAGTTTAAGGTATATGTATATAAGCGTTGATTGAAGAAGTAAGAAGATGCGCAACCTTATGGGCGATTTCGCGGAACAAAACCTATCCAAGATGTGGCTGGCGATATCTTCGCCGCAAGTCAACCTGTCCGAGATTAAGATTAGGTCTGCGTCGCTGCGCGTTGATAGTTGTTTACAGCGCAGCAGATAAAGAATTCTGTACCGTAGTTCTACTTTCAGTCGACAGAGTGGTTTCCGGAGACAGTGTTGCCAGAACTACGGATTAATCCGTAGATTTACGGATTTTGGGTACAGTACGTTAATAATACGGATTTTCTATCATTAAACAATTTAATATAATATTATATGATTAAACAAAAAAATGGCGTCAGTGTTGGCTTGGAAATGAAGATCAATGTTTTTTCATATGTAAAATATTATGGTAAATGTCAATAGTCGTCAGTTCCAAGCCAACGAAACCACTTTTTCGATCATATGAAATATTCAGTAACTATAAAAGAATTTTTATTTTATTGTTTATTCAATGTTTAACATGAATAAATTTTCAATACGTAAACGCTGATTTTTCATCCCAAGATGGATCTCTGGTGTTTATCAAGGACATTGCAAATCTAGACATTAGCGGTAAAATCTGCCTCTTTGCGGACGATACTAGTTTCACTTGGAGCGGCCCAGATGTTACGGCGCTATATAATACTATATCCAGTGGCTTACGCACCATTAAATCTTGGTGCGATTCTAATCTACTATGCCTCAACCTATCAAACTAAAGCTTTGTCATATAAAAGTACTATACAACCTTTTGTACTTAATAACACCACTATTGAAAATGGGACTTGCACATCGAAGCTTTATCAAAGAAACTAAGCGCTGCCTGTTTTGAGCTAAGATCAGTTTCTAAAAAGAGAACTTAACTTATCAACCTCTAGAATAGTCTATTATGCCCTTTTTGAGTCGCATCTTCGTTATGCCCTTCCATTCTGGGGTACTTGCTGCGCGACAAAATTTGATCGTATTTTCAAACTTCAAAAGAGAGCAGTTCGATATTTATTGGGACTGAACAGTAGAACTCATTGCTAGAATTTCTTTAAAAATTTCAAAATACTGACTCTTCCTCCTTTAATCATTTTTGAATCCGTTTGCTTAATCTGCAAGCACATATATCTGCTATTCCCGAAAGGTCATCTCACAACTATCCACTTAGGAATGAGCTCAGAACTAGTTAAAGGCCTAGTACTGTACAATGCCAAAAAAATGTACAATCATCTGCGTTTGGATATCAAGTCGCTTTCATTCTTTCCCGCATTTCGCAAAGCTTTGAAATCATACTTACTGGAGAGAGCCCTATAGGGCTATCTCCAGTAAGCATATATGCGGTAAACGACTTTTTTGTTGATGTTTAATCATGAACAATTTTGAATTTTAAAATTTTGATCATCTCACGCACTGGTTAAAAGTCTATTATTTAATATTTTATGACTCTTAAATGATTATATCCATTTACAATTTTCCTATTGTAAAATTTTATTGATACGCCTTTTTTTGTGTTCTGCAATGTCCATATATTAATGTAGTAATTTTAATGACGAAATTTATTTTTGAATTGCATGATATTTTTTTATTATTTGTATATTTTTTGTGCTTTTGTTTGTTTTGTAAATGCTTTGTCGATGAAGCTATTTTAGCTTTTTGTATAATAAAGCGATAAATAACGCTTTATTTATTTATTTAGAAGATATTTTCGTCAAACGTATTAGAGATATTACATATTTTAATATGGCAACACTGTTGCTTTTGGTTCCACACCGTCTTCAATATGCCTTCGCTAGCCGAATTAGAGAAAATGAGTGTTTTATGCGTTGGTAGGCTCCACCGTATAGCACTTGAGACCTAAGAGGAAATCAAATCAGCCTTGTCACGAATTTTCCCATCAGGTTGCCTATTTTCCTAATTCTTTCAATCAACGGTATAAGTCAGATATAAGTTTATTAACGGAGAATGAGAACTTGTCTTTGCTAAAAAAGGGCAATGCTTGATAAGATCGGAACTTCCCTATAAAAATTTGTCAATTACGTAGCAGGCGGTCTCTTTAATCTGTCTACGCCTGATGATCATCAGTTTCGTGAATTAGTATTGTTTGTTAGAAATCGAAATATAATGTTGAAACGAATGTGAAATCGATGCATCCCAACGGTGGTTTTTATAATAAATAAATGATATATAAACCTTTGTGAAAAAACCCTGGGTATTTCAACAAAAAATGAGCCCGCGGTTTAGATTAAACATGGAGAACTAATATACTATCAGCTTTTGATACCTGTTTAGCTAGGGTATCGCATCTTCAAATGCTAGGGCATAACAGAGGTACCCGTGAGGTGGAGGCTGGAGGATCTGTCTCCATTTTTTCCACCTCTTTAACTTGGTCTCTCGTTAGACCTGATTGTAACCTACCAGTATTGTCCCGAGTCTATAATAGAGGATATATATCTCTTTCTCTATTGCCTACTTGGATTTGAAGTCAATTTTTATTGTGAGGACCTGACCATGACCCCCCATCCCTCGAGTTGATGACTCGCCACCTCGATGTCCTTACATTGGAGTCCTGGCAAAGCTGATTTCGGTCTCTGCTTGCCTCCCGGTGTTGGACGGCTTTCCAACCTGGCTTTTTCTCTGCTAGCCGGAGCAGAGATGAGAGGTTCTTGCTCTTTCTCCTGACCTTTGGTCGAGATGCGCCAGTCTGTTCCTTGGTTCCTTTACTCTCCCCTTTTCTAAAGAGTGTTTTCGCTTTTGCTTCCTATGGAGCAGTCGCAGTTAATTGTTCCGATTAAAGAATACCGTATTTAAAACAATTCGTCCCTACCATACCATTAATTGTTTCATATTTTTGTACTAGAAACCGCTATGGGTATATGTCTAAATCAGCAATCACAAACCACTAACACCGAGTACGCGGCAAGCGTAGAAACCCTATGCGACATCTACTACAATAGAATGTCATCGTATCTGATGAGATACGATTTCTTCTATCAGCGTTCCGACGAGATCGTGCGAGAGAAAAAAGCTTTGGCAGTTATAGACGATATTCTGGAAAAAATATTGAATCTGAAGAGCGAAGTGAAAAAGTCTTCTGGCGAAAATGATGCTACCACGAACGATTTTCTTGATTTGCTGTTGAATGTGGAGATTGATGGAAAGCGTTTGAACAAAGACGATATAAGAGAGGAAGTAAATACTTTCATACTTGCAGTAAGTATTATTCATAGCGAATTTTATCAGTATTAGACACTACAGTAGCACGCACTATTTTATAGCCTCTTTAACTAGCTAGATTAGATTTTTTTCATGTGGCTATTGGCCTATTCCTCTGCAATCTTTACATATCTATTGTGGTCCCCTTCTATATAAATCCCATTCAAAAATTTAATTTATATTTAGTACTTTATTTAAATATTGGCACTACCCCTTCCTGTAACCCAGATTTCAATCATATCAAGCACTTTTGTACGAAAGCGTAGAGCTGCCATGGCAACATTGAAAAATTATGTATACACTTTTTCTGTAAAACAGAATAAATATAATTTTATAAAGTCAGGTGGAAAGGTCTAACAGAAACATTGAGGAAATGTTAGTTGTGTATTACTACTGCTGATAGCTGTTACCGTGTTAAAACAATTATAATTTTCAGGGCTATGATACAAGTTCCACAGCTCTATCTCTGATATTATATAAAATAGCTGAACATCCAGATATCCAGGTAATATTACTATATACAGTTCATACCAAATAAACTTTTAGTCACGTGAGTAAGCTTGACCGGCACAGCCTTTTCCACTTTTATATGTTTTTTTTTCATCAAAATATTATAGGAAACCAAATTAAATTAATTATAAATATATAAATCGATATTATTTACTGTACGTTTGTCCGTTCTGTAGCTACGGGGAATCCGTGAGAGGGGAAACGATATTCTCTCGATGTCTTACGTAAAAAATAGACGACGCGTCCCATCAATAAAAATTCGACAAATTTGCAAGTAGCCTATAAAATGAGTGGGCGGAGCGATTTGCGGTGACGCACTCGTCAAATCGACGTATAAAATATATTGCTGTTTATTTAAATGTTTTTTGTCCGCATTCCTTTCATAGACACAGATCCAGCAGATGTACTGTACATCAACAAAAACTCACCTTCTTAACAGCATTTAAGGGACATAAAGGGTAGTGATGGGATAACTCGAGCGAAAATTCGCTCGAGTACTCGATTATTGAAATAACCGACATCGCTCGATTATGAACGAGCGATGCAAGTGACGAGTACCCAGCGACGAACGCAAGCGATCCTAGAATGAAATAAATTGAAATCCGATTTTAATGTGACCTACTCGATAAAAAGCCGAGCGAATTTTCTACATACATTGCAGGTAGCAAATTTATACGACGCCGTATATACCGGATGCGTCTCAAAAGTGGCTCACCCGTATTACTTTTTTATTTTTTTAGATATAAAATGAGATTTGCTATGTTAGTATATGACATAAGTTAGGATTGATTGAAGTATTCAATTGTTTGTGTCACTTCCTGTTTCACCGGAAATGACTAAAATTTTTGATTTTTAAATGGCACCCTCCGTATTTTTTTTAATTTATTTGATAGAAAATGACATTCTAAATAGAATCACGTATCATATGTCAACTTTTGACATATTCGCTTAAAAACAAATTGTATTTTAAATTTCAATCTAGAGTGCCATGGTTATGTTAAAAACACTAATTTTTAGCCAAGGAGCCTTGGAAAAATAGATCTGATCGTCTAATGTTTTTAGTGTCTTGCCCTGGTCGGTTAAAAGATGCCCAAATCGTATTTTTGATCATATCTCAATTATTTTCAAATGAAACGAGGGTGGATCATTAGCATATTTCGAAAAAGAATTTTTTTACGAATAATTTGATACCACACAATTGACAACAATGAATTTAAAAATCGCGCCCTCGATTACGTAATTAAAAGTTTAATTGAACTCCAATATAGGTATTTCGTTAATTAAAAAAAGTTTTTACATTTATCTGTAATATTAAAGTAATACTTTTTACATTTATCTGTAATATTAAAGTAATACCACAGATTATACAGATTATAAACTTTGTTTTTTCTTTATTGTTTTTCGTGGTTCCAATTTTCGGAATCGGGCACTAGTTAGGTGACTAGTTTGCGCACATAGCACGCCCACTTATGGCCTCTAAAATTGTGCACAGCGCCTGACCGGCACATTTGTTAGAGAGATATCGGAAAACCGAATAGCGTCATGCAGTATTTACGCGTACCTTATCATGGTTACGATATGCGCGAGTCAATTTTTAACGCAACACCCGCTAATAACGTTACCGCCTGATGTAATTTGCGGATCAATTACACCAAGCGCTATTTCTAAATAACGTTTAAAAATTCAAAAATTACTTAAATGGGCATGTGCGGGTATTTGACAACCGGGGCCAGCCGGCGAGATCTTTTATTTTAGGTTATGTTTGAATTGTTTTGAATTATTACTCTAGTTTTATTAGGTAATTTGATATTTAAGTAGCTGGGATTAGTTTTAATTAAATAAATATGGCCCAAAATATGGATTCCACCTCTTCCATTACTAAAGAACCTATAAAGAGTCTTAGGTTTACAGCAGATGGCGACTTAGCCCTTCTAAGAGAATTTGTTGCTTGTTGCCCTAAACTCACTGGCAGACGTTGAACAATAAAGCACTGGAAATAAGCACTTTAGCCCTTTAATTTTAAAATACCTAGTAAACAAAACAATTTCAAAGTTTTAAATTCAAAGTTAGGTTAAGTTTAAATAGCGGACGCGACGCGATCAGAATTCTTTCCGATCCGATAACGATAAATGAAGAGAGTTAATACCACCTCACGTAAAGGAAATAACACCTGGCCTTATTAACGTCCATGCACGCTATTCGGTTTAGCGATATCTCTCTATTACGCTGTTTATTGTTATTTTACGCGAGTTTATTTTTGCGCACAGGAAATTTTACTCGTTTGCACACCGTCATAAAAAACAATTTTCGTACCACGAATTAGGGATAAGATTTTTATCTGTATACATTTAGTATACGTAATCTGTGGTAATACTTTCCATAATGCATTCTTAAGAAAAGCGGCATTAAAAACCCTTAAAAATGACAATCATTGACATTTTAATGTAAAATTACATGGTAAATGTTATCGTCATTTCTAAAATAATATTTAGAATATTTCGAAGATTATTACCGTATTACATAAACTATATAGAGTCTATCCAGCAAGGGAAGAGACGATATCGACAGGAATCACCCCAAATTTGACAAAAAAATACAATTCACTTTTGAATTAAAATGAGAGAAAATTGTTACTATCATTTATTCTCTCATCGGACAAACTATGTAATTCTATACACAGGAAATAAAAAACTATTAACAATGAAAACTAATCAATAGCAAACAATTTAATAACAAATAAAAATAATAATTAACGTTACTTTTTGTAAATGTTTTAACAGAAAAAACTGCTAGAGGAACAAAAAGAAGTACTCAAAGAGGACTTCAAAAAGCTTCACGTTTCATTTGAAAATCTTCACAAAATGCCATACCTGGATATGGTTATTAAGGAAACTTTAAGAATGCATGCAATTATTCCAATGAGTGGAAGAAGACTTGAAAAAGACGGTCTGAAATATGGTAAGTCTCGTAAGGGACAATAATTATACTCTGTTTTTTTTTCTAAGGTAAGATTTCGACAGACGATAACAGAAAAAAAGCAGATGACGTCCCATACCAATCTATTTATTTTAGTAAAAAAAGTTTCTAACAATTTTTAAGTTAACTATGGATGGGTTTAAATATAAATCCGTCATACGTCGTCTCTTGTTGTTTTTAACCAGTTTTATTGGTTTATTTCAAAAATGACAGATCGTATTTCAATTTTATTGGTTTGACGGAACGATGAACGACAAACGGACGCCGATGCGTATGAACTCGCCTTTAGATTTTTGGCGCTTGTCAAAGTCTTGCCAAATTAGAGGTTATAATTTTGTGTCAACTTTTGTCAGTTTTGTCAAATACCCTGCGTTTTGGAAGATGATGCATTTTGATTCGTTTTATTACGTGTGTTTTGTGTCTTTTGAAGCCAAGTGGAGGAAAAATCGAGTGAAAATTAACTGTAGACCCAGAGCACAGTTTATGGTTAATACTCGCTGCCTAGGCAAAAAGTCTTATACACCAATAAAGTTACCATCATTAAAGTTCGTATACCATCTCGTCGTAGATAAGTGCATCTCGAATATGGTAGAAGGACCGTACTAAACACATACTAAAAACTGGAGTAGCTGTAAAATATCGACATCACACGATACGTAAATAATGGATTTTAGTACTGCACAAGAAAAATAATGCCAAAGGTACTGGTTGAAAAAATTTTTAATAAAAATATTAAAGTTAATTAATCAACCTTTAAGGTACCTATAAAATTTGGTAAGTGTTATTAATTATAAAATAGTTTGTTTTATTTATGTTGTTTTATTTATTCCTGCGGAATATTACAAATTTGTATTTGTACATAAGTTAAATTGATAAATATAATCATAAATGCGGGAAGTTTCAAGTAAGAAATAGTTCTTTTTTATATTTTTTTGGTATGAGGTGTCTTGTTCTTGTTTGTTTTGTATTAACACATACCATTTTTTATTAAATTAAATAACTCGATTACTTTTTTCAGTTTTATACAGTTTTTTTCACAATATTTTGAAGTAATCACTTGTCAGTCAAATTTTAAATATATTAATTTCCTGCTATGCGTTTCAGTTGTACCAACTTATTTCTTTGTAAAATAAAATAAACTACTTTGAAATTAAAATGACAGACACATATATCACTGTCAAGGATCTTGTCGTTGGATAGACTATAATAATACCGTATGATCGAGAAAAAAACGGCGTCAGCGATGGCTATGGAATGAAGATCGCTGTCATTTTATATGTAAATTTATATGGGGAATGTCATCGATGTTCATTTCCCAGCCAACTGGACGCCATTTTTTTCGATCATACGGTAGTAACCAGTGTTTTCTTCATATTATTACCTATTTTGTACCACTTAAGACGGACGCTCTGAAATATATTTTTTCTGACTATTACCATTCTAAATATCTTGAGAACTCGTAGAGATTTTTACCGAGAGACATTTTTACGTAAAAAATCATGGAAATATATATTTTTCACTCAGTAGTTTTATACAGGTACGGACGAAAAGTTATTACTCTTCAAAACCGTTAAAACACATTTAGATGACGCCCTTTATATTATATTATATTATATTGACACCAAAATCAAATTTCTCATGTCAGAAAATTCCCAGACACCAATTTTCATCCAAATATTGATATTACTTTAGAAATTATTTGGAAAAAATCGAAATAAAAATAAAACTTCTACACCCTGTATCTCCGAAACTAAGCATTTCCTGGATACAGTTCGGACCACCTTGTATAACATACTCTTGAAATAATTTCATTCCCAAAAGTATTTTCTGATATTGAATAATAAATTAATTATAATTGATATTGATATATACATTTCAGACAATATCAACTTACCATCAACAGTAAACTTCAGTATTTTTATGCATGGCTTCCATCACAATCCAGAATACTTTCCAGAACCCGAGAAATTTAGACCTGAGAGATTTTCAAGCAATGAAAAGATAGATAAATTTACTTATATGCCTTTCGGTGTTAAACCAAGACAATGTCTAGGTAAGTGTTACATTTATAAGGCATAGATTATTAGTTATTGTTTTAACCCTAAAACCGATACTTCTAGGTAAAAACTTCGCAATGCTAGAGCTGAAATCCGCTATATCTAAGATACTAAGAACATACCAACTTATCAACATCTCAGAACATCAACTGGATCTTAAACCTAAGTTACTGCTTTATTCTGCTACTGGAATATGCATCAAAATTAGGAAAAGAAGTAAAAATATCACCAAGAAACAAGAAGCGTCTGTAAATTTATCTACTAGTTATTAAAACTATACATATTAAAATTTAACACAGTATAGTTTTTAAAACTATTTATTCTATTGGTAATCTAATTTTGATTGTATCTAAATTTTAACATTTTAAAGATAATATATTTTTTCATGATTTGTGTGTGACACTAATATAACTATATACAATAACCACAATAATATTGAAACTGAAAAACGTTTAAACGTTTTCTAAATTTGTATAAGAGGCCTAAAATAATTCTTAACTGAATATCTCGTTGTTTTTTTCGTAATACTTAAGGTGGCTACACACACTACTGCAAGCTTGACAAGCATGCATGAACAATTCCCATATAACACACAATATCCGCAGGATATTCATAGAATGTCGGAATGTCCCATTATAAGATCATCTTATAAAGACATCTATAGGATATCCTCCAGATATCCTGTAGATGTCTCAGAATAGAATATCCTATAGATATCTCTGTCGTCTATCTAATGTACATCCAGCTGAGATATCCAAACATGCTCATGATAATAAAATATCCTAACAATATCGTCTAGATATTTAGGAAAAATAAATAATGTACTACTTTTTATATTACATAAAACGCAATAAACCATACAGATAGATATATATTACGTCAAGGCAACAAAATATCCTGTTGGTATCTTCTGGATAACCTGGATATTTATGAGCTTAGCCACTCCCAGTAATACAGAGAATTTAAAACGCCCGCGCAAAAAAATTCCCACAATCCATCTCGACAGTTGTTTCTTTTTGCATCATGTATTATTCAGTTCTTTGATTTAGTGAAATTCGAGGTGAATTCGGTCGTTTGTCGATATTGGATGGGCTTAAAAATGACTGAAACTGGTTGAGTTTGACTTAGATTTTTCTTATACTCATAGTTCTAGCAGAAATTCTATCCTAACCTCAACTAATGTCGAAAAACGACGAACGACTCAGGGTCTCACAATGAAAAATTTGTGACAAAAGTATAGGTGAAAATTTGTTGAAAAGCGCTTGTTCTTTATCCCTAAACCCATTTTCGTGTTTGATCTATTCAAACAGAAATCCTATTTTTGTGTTTAAATTGTGAGTTTCTGGAACGTGTGGTGTTAGAAATTATACCTGTATCCTGTGTGCTAACTTTGATGTAAACTGTTGCTGCTAGACATAAACTGCTAGACTCCATAAAGGGTAGTATAATCTGGTATAATACCATACCATCGAAAAAAACGGCGTCAGAGGTGGCTTGGAAATGAAGATTGCTGTTATTTTGTATGTAAAATTATATGGGGAATGTCATCGATCGTAATTTTTCAAGCCAATTGAATGTCGTTTTTTTTCGATGGTACAGTATAAATTGAAAGGTCTTAACTCAAACAAATAGACTTCTAAATTTTGACGCAAAATTCATTGACATAATATGTAGGTATATTTTAGAGATGTTAATAAAAATATCCAATGAATAACGTCAAAATGTGGCTAAATAAAACTAAATCGCGAACGTTTTTACTATAAACTAAGGATGAAGTAAGTATTGTCAAATAACAGTCCTCATATAATGTCCTAAAAATATCCTATAATGCTCCCAACATCATCCTTGTATTATCCTATAAATATCCCAAATAATCGTAAAAGGCTTGCTAGGGATGTCTTGAAGATGACTTTTTTTGTCCCATCTGGATATCCCTTAAATATCCTCCTCTGGTTTTTGGATATCCTCAAGATATCTATAGGATTGTGTTGTGTTATATGGGAATCTTTTTGTACAAGCATGCATAATTTACCTTCACCGCTAAACGGTACATGCATGCTTGAACAAGCTTCAGTTTATGCCGCGAAAAAGAAGGAAGACCGCGAAAAAGAAGAAGGAATCCTGAAGGCATTTATCTTTTTAATAACGGCATCTTTATCGGCTTGGCTGTCAATTAATCTATACTTATTAAGTAAAATTTTGTATGCTGCATCCTTCTTCACCCTATCACGATATTCTTGTGATTTAATTCACGGCTGATTTTCGTATGCGCGAATAAAATCTTCCAATAATCCTCTATTGCTCCTTTTCAGATCGCTAGACATGATGGCGACGCGACGTACAGGTCATTTACGATCACGGACTGAACTAATTGTTTGTACAAGCTGAATACATGTAACATGTAAAAATACATGTCGCTTGCGCAAGCATGGCTTCTCCAAGCTTGCATGATTCAAATTCAATCAATCATCAAGCGGCTTGCACAATTAAAATGCTTCCGCAAATTTTCCCTACAGACGCTACAGTTTGCTTGTACAAAAAGATTGTTCATGCATGCTTGTCAAGCTTGCAGTAGTGTGTGTAGCCACCTTTACAAATTTTATATCAATATAAAGAAGAATAAGTTTAATTTTCAGTTTCTTTACTGAAATAATGTTTAAATTAAAATGGCAGAGAATAGCAAATATAAAAGAAGTATTAGAACGCATTGGACTTAAAGCTACATTTCAATAGTGAAATAAAAAATAATTGAAATTATAAAAACACTCTATACTATACTGTAACGCCCGTCCTAACCTTAGGATTGCTTATCTTTTTTGAAATGTTGCCACTACTTGAAGAACTTCTCTTAACGCTATTCAAGTACTCAACCTAAAGGAATAATTATTGATTTTTGGAAATAAAAAAAATGCTAAGAAAATCCATGTTCTTACCTGTTTGTCTATGGATCTAAACTGCCAGGACCAGTTTGCTCTATATAAAAATGGTCTAAGATCGAATCTGTTGTCATCTGGACTGTAAGATTCAGCATGGTACGAGGGAGTCAGCACTGTCATTTTGTGACGATTTATAGCATAACACCTAAAAGAAGAAATAAAAAACATGCCTTTACCACACATTTTAGGTAATGTATTCATTTTTCAGTGGCGGCTCGTCAGGGTAGGCAAGGTAGGCGGCGCCTACTAGTCATGGCCGGATCAGCGATTTTTTAATAACAGGTACAAGCTGTTCCAGTTGCAAAAGATACATGTTCCAAGAAACCTGTTCCAGTTCCAAACTGTTCCAAAACGAAAATTAATACCGTACTTGCGTCATTCTAATTCGGTTGCTATTTTTCTTTTTAAATTTATATAAAAGAATATTTTTTGCTTAAATAATGAGAACTACTGGAGATTTTTCTGTTTTTTCTAAATTTAATCTACTATTTATGTTGCTATATTACCAAGATATAATGTTTTTTTAACTAAAAATTTAAAAAAAAAATATCAAATTTTCGAAAAATAAACTTTATTTTTTTATTACTATTTTACCCTAGATCCGCCACTGTAATGACTGACATTAGGATAATTGTCAAATAATAAAGGACAACATTGCTGAACACGGAGCAATGTGGCCAATATATCGATAATATAATTCGGTTTAAACTAAGTTTTGGAAGCTTTAATTTAAACAAAATATCTGTTACAATCATTTGCTCTATAAAGTAAAATGAAAATCTGCTCGGTATCTTAAATTATACAACAAATTTAAATATTTTTGCCAAAATTAGTCAGGTTTATAGACTTTAATGTCAATGTCGATATGATTGATGACGAGCATCGGAAAATGTTTTGCGATTACAATACCTGAAAAAGTGTTTGACTTTTTCTGCTACTTGCTTTGGTGTACATGTATCTGACCAAGTCTGCACCAATTTACAATACATAGAAAACGGCCCACAATTCCCAATTTTTCGTAAAATTCCAAATTGGCTCAGTTCGCTGTACGTCATTCCCATGTCTTGTTCGTCAGTTTGAGCAATTTTTCCTTGGACCAAAGGCTAAAAAATCGTCATTCTGTAAAGCATTGTATTCTATTACATATTTTAAACACACTGTACCTCTAATTCGGCAGTTGGTGGGGCATTATAAATCTCACCGAGAATCGGAATGTTGAATTTTACTTTGGCATATTCGATAAAGCTTCTTAAATCGGTTTTTGATATACCACCTAAAATATAGCAAATACTAACTGTCTTGTGTCTATTTTAATCATGGAATAAAAAGACTAAGGAAGCAGTTTTATTTTAGATTCACTAACTTCTTCAATAATTTTTAAATAATACTAACCAATCGGATTGATATCGGCACTAGAACAATCGTACTTCGTCATATATCCACGAAGTGCTTCATCAACATTGGCCGAACCAAGCACCAGCAATCCACCTGGTCTGCCCCTAACCCACAGTACCAACTGAGCAAATAAATAGCTCAGAACCATTCTTATTCGTGCCTGGATGTTTTGCAAGGCCATATTCTGACGTGGACAGCCGCCATTGCTGGCAAATTTCGGGAATAGGCCGGTTATAGTACTGAAGATTTCTAGGCAGGCGTTGACAGCCTTATCTACCATTATATGAAGATGGTAACTGTAAGAGTGTTATTTAAGAATTAGAAGATGTTTAATTTCTAGTTTTTGAAACATGCAGAAAAATATATAATACAAAAAGTCAAATAATTGCATTGTTTTGATCGAGTTGTAGTTTGAACAGCGTCCGAACGGCAAAAATTAGAAGTACCGGGAATAAAGTATTTCACGCAGTCCCGTTACCGTACGGCGATCGCACTGAAATAATATTAAAATCGTGGCTTTGTCATAATATTTAAGTATGTTATTTTTTACTAGTGCAGTTATTGAAACTATAAAACATTTAGGTACGAGGTTTGTGTGATGTAATGCTGTTTTGGGTCAAGGACTGTATATATTCTAAAGGACTGTTCGATCGCGTAAAATCGCCGCTGTCGTAGTGGCCGTGGATGCTTACGTCACGCAGAGACCAGCGCTCCACAGTGCTGCGGATGGTTATTCTAGCGGGACAAAATCTCAGGAGCGATATTTGTGACTTAAAATCTAAGAACGTAGCAAATAGTCTAAGATATAGCAACCATATGGTTAAATTTATTTATTTATTAATAAATAAATAAATACAAGATAATAAAACTATGATATTATTCGTACATGACACACAAAAACCGTACTGTATAAACTATTGCCAAGTACATAAAATTATGATATCAGGTGAAATACTTACAAAAAACTCTTTAGCAGTTATTTTTTAATTACTTTGTAATCTTGTAACACCCTGTATATTTTATTTTAAAAAAATCTATTTTATTTTGAAAATAATAAATAAGATAGATATTTTAATTTTAACACTCGATAATTGTAAATTCATATACCGGGTGTTGCATCGTCGGACGGGACATAGGAAATCCCATGTAAATTTTAATGGGGTCAATTATTGGCTTCCCTAATTATTTTAGAGAATAATTCTATTTAGGTTTATTGAAGAGCACTAAAACCCACATTCAAAAGAATCACTTTAGATATTTTTGATTGGCTCGTTTACGAGTTATCGTCGATTTCTTTTTAATATTTCTCCTTTCTTATGGCCCTGTATTTACTTATGAGCACCAGTCAAGGTAAAAGATTTTTTACCTTGACAAAGTAAAAGAAATTTACCTATTTAGTGCTATATTATTATTGAAAACTCATTCCTACATCGGAAATCTTAAAGATGTATTTATAAATACAAATTAATATGAATTAAAGTAAAATAAAGTAATCAATTACAAGGTTAAATATAGTATTATTACAATATTCAATAACTTATTAATTTAGGTCCTATTAAATGACAACTTCATCAACATCAGTTATCTTTTACCTTGACTGGTGCTCATAAGTAAATACAGGGCCATAAGAAAGGAGAAATATTTAAAAAGAAATCGGCGATAACTCGTAAACGGGCTAATCAAAAATATCTAAAGTTATTCTTTTGAATGTGGGTTTTAGTGCTCTTCAATAAACCTAAATAGAATTATACTCTAAAATAATCAGGGAAGCCAACAATTGACCCCATTAAAATTTACATGGGATTTCCTATGGCCCGCTCGACGATGCAACACCCGGTATAGTAAGTATCTAAGACAATTTTTTAAACTTTTATTAAAACTAGTAATAATCATTTAGTTTTATTATAAATTATCAGAAAGTAAAAAAAGACTTTAGCATATCGTCATGCTTTATTTAACTAGAATATCATTTGGATGTTTTTGTCTTGAGGAAAATTGCCGAACTGACTATTGGTGTCATTTATTAGCTGGTCATACACGGAAAGGCCCTGCCTTCAGCCTTGGCCTTGGGTCCGGGCCTTTAACCCAAAATACCATAGGTTTGCGCGAAAGGCAAAGTCCGCGGATATATTTCCGCTATGGTAATTTGGGTGAAAGCCCCGGCCTCAAGACCAAGTCCGAAAGCCGGGCCTTTCCGTGTATGGGCAGCTATTAATTTTTTAAACTCAGTGCCTTTCGATGGGACAGTTAAGGTTTCAACAATTATAGCAGCATTCTTACTCCCACTAGCCCTAAAGCTCATAGTACTTGCAAAACCTAATTCTTCTTTTGAATGCTCTTCAATTAACCCTTTAACGAGTCTTTGTTTTGTTTTTATACTATCCGATTGAAATGAAACTTTTGGGCATTCACCTGGTAAGCTTGAACTTCCTGTGACTGTGAGTACCTGTGTTGGTAACTATTGGTAACTCAAAAGATTTTTTTAACAGAACATCAACGATTTCTTGTAGACGTATCTGTTTTAAAAAGTAAAGTGTTCTCGAATAGTTCAATTTAAATATTTTAAATAGTTTTTTTCTTGATTCTTTATATTTTTTTGCTTCTGACGACGGAAAGAGAAAACTTTCCGAAACGTGAAGCATTTTATTCTTTGTTAGGCAAATTTTTATTACTGTAAACACAACTTCTGACAAGCAGCGTCCGTTTAGGTTTAACGCAGAAGTGTTTACAAAAAATAACTATTTTATTTTGTAGATTTTTTTCTTGCAGTGCAGTGGCGAAATACCCATAAAGGATTTTTTTGGACAAAAGATCTACATCATTCAATATATCGATATTTGAAAAAAAGTGAAAGTTTGTGCCTTTGTCCAAACCTTTGTACATACCTCTGGCAATCTTCAACATAATTTTTTGGCTTTGGAATAAAATGTATAAGCAGTTGTAAATATTTTGTTTTCGTATGATCTCTGCCTTGCTGAGCAGAAAACGACCAAATTTGGTTGATAAAAATGTATCGAAATACAAAGAATATTCATGCTTTTTTATATCAATTGGAATATCTACTATTTATTCTTATCAGTACACATTTTTTGGCTTATTTCTAACCAAACGGTTTTGTCCCGCTAAATTTATCTTCCACCGTACTGTGCGCCCGTCCGTCATACGCAAAAATAATAATTGTCACTGTCTAAAATCTTTAGCGCCAACTTCAACTCGGTCCCTAGATGATGTAAAAAAACTGACAGTGCAGGAAGATAGGAATCGAACTATCCTTATCTCTATATACTATCCTTGGTTTTGGGTAGTAAAAAATAAGTAAATAAGAACCCGAACTAGGCGTCGGCGTCGTGTTGTGTTGTGACAATTTCAAATGTTAATAAAATTGGCGAAAAAATGGCATACTCTGTTTTTTTTCTAAGGTAAGATTTCGACAGACGATGATAGAAGAAAAATAGATGACGTCCCATACCAATCTATTTATTTTACTAAAAAAGTTTCTAACCAGTTGTTTTTAACCAGTTTTATTGGTTTATTTCAAAAATGACAGATCATATTTCAATTTTATTGGTTTGATGGAACGATGAACGACAAACGGATGCCGATGCGTATAAATTCGCCTTTAGTTTTTCGAGGCTTGTCAAAGTCTTGCCAAATTATGGGTTATAATTTTGTGTCAACTTATGTCAAATATCTGTGTTTTGGAAGATTATGCATTTTGATTCGTGTTATTACGTTTGTTTTGTGTCTTTTGAAGTCAAATGGAGGAAAAATCGAGGAAAAATTAACTGTAGATCCAGAGCACAGTTTATAGTTAATACTCGCTGCCCAGGCAGAAAGTCTTTATATACCACTAAAGTTACCATCAATAAAGTTTGTATACCACTGCGTTGTAGATAAGTGCATCACGTATATGCTACAAGGATCGTACTAAACATATACTACTGGAGTAGCTGTAAAATATCAACATCACACGATAGGTAAATAATGGATTTTAGTACTGCAGAAAAATGTCAAAAGGTACTGGTTTAAAAAAATTAAGATTAAAGTTAATTAATCAACCTTTAAGGTATAAAATTTGGTAAGTGTTATTATTAATAAAATAGTTTGTTTTATTTATGTTGTTTTATTTATTCCTGTGGAATATTACAAATTTGTAAGAATATTACAAGTTATATTGATAAATATAATAATAAATGCAGGAAGTTACTTGAAGCTTGAGAGTACAAAATAGTTCTTTTTATATTTTTTTGATATGTGGTGTTTTGTTCTTGTTTGTTTTGTATTAACGCATACCGTGTATTTTAAATAAAATAACTCGATTACATTTTTTCAGTTTTATACAGTTTTTTTTCACAATATTTTAAAGTAATCACTTATCAGACAAATTTTAAATATATTAATTTCCTGCTATGCGTTCCAGTTGTACCAACTTATTTCTTTGTAAAATAAAAATAAACTACTTTAAAATTAAAATGACAGACACATCTATCACTGTCAAGGATCATGTCATGATCTTGTCGTTGGACAGACTAATGCTTCAGAAATGCATGTGTAATTAGTTGCTGATGCTTCAGAAATGGGAATTTCAACAGTCTAAAGAATTGAAATTAAAGGGATTGTATCTGATGAAGAGTTCAAGAAAAAATGAATAAATGCCGAAAAAAAAACGGAACTCGGTCAATCAATAATATAGAAACGAACTTACAATTTTCTAAAGAATATGAACTGATCTTAGATACACCCTAAAACTCATATTCGGCAAATAATGATGACGTAACGGCGAACGATGGCTGAACCGTTTTCTAACATTTAAGTTGTATTAGTTTTTTAAGATACCTTCCTATTGCAGTTGCTAAGCCACTAGCCCGATTTTTGGTTTCTTTAGAAGAATTTTCGGTTCCCATGTAACATGTAACTAGGATTCTATTACATAATTCTTGTGCGGTTTTGGGAGTGTACTCTGCATCAGCCACAATTCTTCTAACGTCGGACAACACTTTAGGATCTAAGAAATAGAATTGAAATAAAATTACTTTGAGATATCGTGCAATATAAATACTGGGGTTTGCCGAGAGAGAAAATTTCGACATCCAAGAAACAAAAAAATACAATTTAACTTGTGAATTAAAATAAACAATTAAACAGTATGGGTATATATTTAATTACCTCCATTCTTTTGCACATTCTCAACGATCAATCTACACATTGAGTATACAATAATGGCAGTACTGGAAGAATCGATACCACCACTCAAAGGTAGAAAAAATCCCCCTTGACCTGAACGTCTTAAATAATCCCATAACCAACAAGCAGGTCCCTAAAATATATTAGAACGTTTGTATTCCTTACTTAAAGATAAATATATTGATATTAAAATCACAACCTCACAATTAGTGGTTTCAATTACATTTTATGCTTTACGATCACTCACAATGTTTAAAAAACTCAATTAAAATTAACAGAGTATCCTAGCAACAGCTTGCGTTAGTCAGATGGACACATCTGACAATGGAAGGAAGGCTAATATTTAGCTTATAAAACTATCAACTTTTGATTTCTAACCACAATTTCTCTTGACGGAAGATAATCAACGGCCAAACTGACATTTCTCGCAAATTTATAAGTATAATTAGTGGAAAAGTTAAAAGTTTGATAACTTTTTCTACTAATTGAAAATGTCTACCACTAATTTTGACGTTCTGAATGCTTAATGTAAAGCAGGGTTTCTTAAAGTGTGGTCCACGGATCCTTTAGGGGTCCGTAGCATGTGTATCAGAGCTCCGCGGTACGCACTACGTCAGTTAACTGTAAACATATTTTAAGAAAAAAAATAGTGTAGGGCGGCGAATTCAGTAGGTATTTAATCACTAAACACTACGCGATGCGCGTAAGGATCAAAAAAACAAAGTTGAAGCTGTTCCCTTATCAAACGATGTTATTCATTCTAGAATTGTTGAAATGTCGTCAAATGTTTTACAGGTTGTTGAAGAATTAATTGCTTCACCGTTTCCATTCAGCATTCGATTGGATGAAAGCACCGATGTGTCACAATGTAGCCAACTCTTGGTATTTGTCCGTTACATACAACAAGACACACGTAGTATTAAAGATGAGTTTTTTTTGCAATTCACTTTTGGAGACTACAAAAGCTTCAGATGTTTTTGAAATGACAAAATGTTTTTTCAACGAACAAAATATAGACTGGAAGACTAGACTTGGTAGTATCTGCACCGATGGAGCTCCCGCAATGCTTGGAAATACGTCTGGTTTCGCGGCTTTGGTCAAGAAAGAGATCCCTCATTAATAACTCATTGTGTCTTACATCGACATGCCTTGGCTTCACGGACTTACCCAAGGATACTATAGAGATAAGGATAGTTCGATTCCTATCTTCCTGCACTGTCAGTTTTTTTTATGTCATCTGCTGACCGAGTTGAAGTTGGCGCTAAAGATTTTAAACAGTGACAGTTATTTTTGCATTTGACGGATGAGCGCACAGTGCGTTGGAAGATAAATTTAGCGGGACAAAAGCGTTTGGTTAGAAATAAGCCAAAAAATGTGTACTGATAAGAATAAATAGTAGACATTCCAATTGATACAAAAATGCATGAATATTCTTTGTATTTCGATACATTTTTATCAACCAAATTTGGTCGTTTTCTGCTCAACAGGGCAGAGATCATACGAAAACAAAATATTTACAAGTGCTTATACATTTTATTAGAAAGCCAAATTATGTTGAAGATTGCCAAAGGTATGTACTTTTCTACTGTACGTATATTATTTGTTAAAGTCCTTCGTGCCTTTGTTCTGCAGATATCAAACTTTCACTTTTTTTCAAATATCGATATATTGAATGATGTAGATCTTTTGAGTTACCAATAGTTACCAACACAGGTAGTTACAGTCACAGGGAGTGCAAGCTTAACAGGTGAATGCCCAAAAAGATTCATTTCATTCGGATAGTATAAAAACAAAACAACTCCATCAAAAGGCACTGAGTTTAAAAAATTGTCTTAGATACTTACTATATAATATGAATTTACAATTACCGAGTGTTAAAATTAAAATTAAAATATCTATCTTATTAATTATTTTCAAAATAAAATATATTTTTTTAAAATAAATTATAGAGGGTGTCACAAGATTACAAGTTAATTTAAAAAAAAACTGCTAAAGAGTTTTTTGATATAGTCTATAAAATGAATAACTTTGAATTTTGACCGTTATTTTTTACCAACATGGCAAATATAAAATCTCTCTGTCCAAAAAGTTACTGATATTCTTTAAAATGAGTGCCCGAACGAATCAGATAGGTAACTCTTTTTACTTTCGTGAAATAGAAAAGGAAAATAATAAAACAAGTGACAGTTCTTTCTCTTCTTGCAAAAATCAACGCGAAATGTCATAACTGACAAAAGTAAAATGTCATCAGCCTTTGACATTTCTAAATATCAGACCAACGCCGTCTCTATTAGAATAGCCTCGGAGCGAGATTTATGACGTCACGCTAGTTAGATATTGCGGATTAATAAATATGTTGTAGAATACATGGAAAACATAATTATTCCTCGTATTTTTGGTTTGTATTTTAAGAATGATATAGTTTACATGAAATATACATAATATACAGTTAATAAATGTTTTACAATATACAAATAATGAATAGGTACATAAGATAATGGGTAAAAATGTAAAATATATTTTAAATTTTGGGGTTTGAAAATCGATCTAATTTAACAAAAAACATTCAATATCTACTAATAGTGATATATTATTATTTCCATTCACAAAATTTATATGTATATTTTGCAAGCATCAATGTTCGAAAAATTATATTTGCAAATAATACAATATCATAGAAAAAAAGGCGTCAGCGATGACTATGAAATAAAGATCGCTGTCATTTTATATGTAAAATTATTCTAAAATTTTTGATTTTTTTGGGATTTAGGTTCGGGAAAAACACTGATTAAATTTTCATTTGGTTTTTTATTACTTTTTTGGTTAAAAAAAAACGTTTAGCCTAAAATATATAAAATAAATAAAAAAATAAACGTTTATAGCCTTCATCAGTGTTGTGTCATATGAAAAAAATAGTGTCGAATATAATCCAAAAAATTACATATACGAGGAATAATAATTATGTTTTTCATGTATTCTACAATATAATTAATCCGTAGTATCTAACTAGGGTGACGTCATACATCTCGCTCAGAGGCTGTTCTATTAGAGACGGCATTGCATCAGCATGGCCGCAAGTTGCTAACCTAATAAAATTTACACTAGAAAAGCCCGCGGGAACTGTCAAATTCAAAGTTATTCGTTTTACAGACTATATCATAATTTTATGTATTTGGCAATAGTTTACAATACGGTTTTTGTGTGTCATGTACGCATAATATCATAGTTTTATTATCTCGTATTTATTTATTAATAAATTAAGTTGTTAATAAATAAATAAATTTAACCATATAGTTGCTATATATTAGACCATTTGCTACGTTCTTAGATTTTAAGTCCCAAACATTGCTCTTGAGATTTTGTCCCGCTAGAATAACCATCCGCCGCACTGTGGAGCGCTGGTCAGCGCGTGACGTGGCATTCCACGGCGACTACTACAGCGGCGATTTGACGCGATCGAACAGTCCTTTAGAATATATACAGTCCTTGGACTTTACCTACATTTCTGAAGGAAGTTATGTCTACATGTGTCAAAATAATTAACTTCATCAGAGCAAGAGCCTTAAACCACCGCGGCACCGCCTTTTTAAAAAGCTTTGTCAAGAAATGGGGCAGAACATGAAGTACTGCTGTAGTACATAGAAGTTCGTTGGCTGTCAAGGGGACAGGTCTTAAAGCGATTGTTTGAGTTGAGGACAGAAGTGTTACTTTTTCTAAAAGATAATACACACACAGATTCACTGTCTGAATATCTTGAGAGCGAAGATTTTGTACGGGGGCGGGGGCTAGCGTATTTGGCAGATATATTTACTCAATTGAATGAAACTAACTGGTCTCTTCAGGACTCTGCGGTTACCATCGTGGATGCATCTGAACCGTTGAAAGGTTTCATAATATGTAAACGGCCACTTTGGGAAAGGAGGGTGGAATCTGGTAACTTTGTAAATTTTCCGATGTTTGAAGAGTTAATAGCACAAGGTGACGGCAACACAATATCAAAAATGCTACAGAAAGAGGTGTCTAAGCATTCGGATACATTGCAAACTTCTTTTGAAGGCTACTTTAACTTAGAATCGCTTGAAAATGAATCGTGGGTACGCAGTCCATTTATAGTCGACAAGGATAATATCAGCGATGAAGATCTCATTAAAAATTGACATGAGATCAAAAGAAGTTTTGAAAGCTGAATTTCATGCAAAAAATCTAGGCGAGTTTTGGTGTTCTTTAAGTCAAGCTTACCCTCTTCTTGTCAAGCGAGCTATGTTCGTTCTGATACCATCTACGTACCTTTGCGAGGCAGGGTTCTCGGTTCTGGTCTCAATAAAAACAAAAAGTCGCAACCGATTAAACGTCGCAGATGATATGCGCCTTGCCTTGTCGAAGATAACCCCACAATTTAACGTTCTCATTGAGGCTAAGCAGCAGCATCCTTCTCACTAATTTACTAGTGTACGTGTAATAAATCTACTAATAAACCTTTTTTTATGTAAATAAGGCTTTTTTATTTTCCTCTATTATTTCTGATAGGGGTACGTGGAATTGTACAAATTGTGAAAGTGGTCCGTGACTGCAAAAAGTTTAAGAAACCCTGATGTAAAGGAACAAACTTCTACGCTAATTGAAACCAGTAATTTATTCCACTAATTGCGAGGTTCTGAATGAAGTTTTACACTCTGATTAAAGTTTTAAAAATATTTAGAGCTGTCATAAATACTGTTACTACCACACATATATTTCAATAAAAACAATCCAAAATACAATGTTGCTTTCAAAATGACAGAAAAAAAAAATTAAATACTTTTAGCACTAGAAGAGATAGGATTTAGGTTAAATGGAGGCAAAATTGCTCAATTTGATGCTGATCAAAATGTCACCTTAAAGTTTAAAATTTTAAAAATTTCGAATGCTTTCAGAGATTTTTGAAGACAAAAAAAAACAATATTTGCGATTTTATTTTTTGTGACTCTATTTGAATAAATATAACAACATAAATTTCACATGCTACTTTTTTTTTGTTTTACAAGATGGTGGAGATTTTTAAACCGACGTTTCGTTTTTGAGCTATAATCAACTTTCTTTTCTTAATTTTTTATTAAAGATTTTTAGAACTTTAAGGTCCCAAAATCAATAATGTATCGGACTTAAAATAAAAAAAATATATATATATTTAAATATTCATATTAATGGCATTTTCCATAGGAACTCGTGAAAAGACTCCAAAAAGACATCGTATAGTTTCCGAGATCCCAATGATATAAGGCACAAAACATCCCCCTTTAGAACTTCTTCTGTCATGTTAAGAAATGAAAGTAAATAATAAAGCGCCTCTCGTGTTTGTTCGCACGCTAAAAATTTCAATTATTGCCTGTATATATTTTTTAAATTTACATTTTTTTAATTGTAAAGTAATATATTACATTTAAATGGAATATATTACATAACAATTATGCCAATTACAGGATTACAAGCTTGTTTTCTAACATTTTTTAAATAAAACGAATTATAAAATTTCAATATATGTATATTTGTCGTAGGTATGAAAAAAGTAAAATATAAAATGGACAAAGGCTTACTTACATTTCAATAAAACTTCCACTTTTCGTTTTGCAATCTAAACGCAATTATTTATTTTTTTATTATTTCTATTTCCCAAATAAAAATATCCGAAAACACTAAAATCACTGAAACTTCCGCGGCTGAAAACGAAAACTGAAAAATATAACGGCACTTTTTGTTTTGGATCTGCATATCAACATAACGCTGTACCATTATGTTTTTGTTTTTGAAATAATATAAAATATCGAATTATAACTTGCAAATTTTAATATTTTAACATGATTTTAACTATTTCTGACATTAACTAACTTTTTGTTATCAAGATGACATTTTAGACGTCAACTGACATATATGTCATAATATTTAAATTTTAAATATGTAAGTATAATTTAAATTAATATAATGCAACTTTATACTAAGAAAACATTTATACATTCACAAAATACAACAAAGTATAATAATATAGTTTGAAAACAATGAATATTGAATTAAAATAAAAATTAAAATTAAAAAAGTTAAGCGCGACCCCTTGTGTCAAAATTAGATGATTAAATTTTCGCAATTTTTTCACCATTTGATGACCGGTGGCGCCTCTAGTGTTTGTTCGGGCGGTTGGTCTTTTACTCCCGCTTATGGCCATTAAAGAAAAAGTTCTAAAGGGGGATGTTTTGTGATATAAGGCTCAAATTTGGGATACCCTGTAAACCTTTCACGAATAAGATAAACGTCATTTGTTTTATAAAAATTATACTTCAAAAATCGTTGATAAACTGACTAGATAGACAGTATAGACAGTGCTATCTAATATATACCTCGGTAATTTCCTCCTGTGCAGTCATTGTCAATGTTTTTATTGGTTGGGCTGTTGGCAATGTAGTGTCATGTTCAGGAGACAATGAGAAATCTATAGTTATTCTGGGATAGCTTTCGCTTCCAGCTGCTACATGCGTTCGCGATCGTTTACTATTCCTGTAACATCTTATATCTTCTAAGTCTATGGTTGCAGTGATCACGTCCTAAAAGTTAAGTTTAAACATTTCCAACAAAAATACGACGCTTGAAAATGACAACTTATTGTCTAAGGTTATACTACTATAGTAAACGCCACGAATGTTTGGGAGTGATTCATCGGTCGCTACCATGTGAACCTTTGAATAAGAAGACTAAGGAAGGAGCATAATGTTATCCATGTATTCATGCATGGAAGATGCATGGTGGGCGGAAAAAACACTCTAGGGTGGGGATCCTTGACAGTTCTGTTTGACGATTCATTTGACACATTTGAATTTGATTTGAAATTTTGTGGATTTGTCAGTCTTTACGGAGCTTATTTTATGTTATTTATTATTTATTCTATTACTGATATACTCTGTTTTTTTTCTCAGGTAAGATTTCGACAGATGATTACAGAAGAAAAGCAGATGACGTCCCATACCAATCTATTTATTTTACTAAAAAAAGTTTCTAATAATTTTTAAGTTATCTATGGATGGGTTTAAATATAGATCCGTCATGCGTCGTCTCTTGTTGTTTTTAACCAGTTTTATTGGTTTATTTAAAAAATGACAGATCGTATTTCAATTTTATTGGTTTGACGGAACGATGAACGACAAACGGACGCCGATGCGTATGAACTCGCCTTTAGATTTTTGTCATTTTTGACGCTTGTCAAAGTCTTGCCAAATTATAGGTTATAATTTTGTGTCAACTTTTGTTAAATACCCTGCGTTTTGGAAGATGATGCATTTTGATTCGTATTATTACGTGTGTTTTGTGTCTTTTGAAGTCAAGTGGAGGAAAAATCGAGTGAAAATTAACTGTAGACCCAGAGCACAGTTTATGGTCAATATTCCCTGCCCAGGCAGAAAGTCTTATACACCAATGAAGTTGCCATCGATAAAGTTTGTATACCATTTCGTCGTAGATAAGTGCATCTCGTATATGGTAGAAGGATCAAACAAAACACATACTAAAAACTGGAGTAGCTGTAAAATATCGACATCACACGATAGGTAAATAATGGATTTTAGTATTGCAGAAAAATAATGTCAAAAGGTACTGTTTTAAAAAAATTAAGATTAAAGTTAATTAATCAACCTTTAAGGTATAACATTTGGTAGGTGTTATTATTAATAAAATAGTTTGTTTTATTTACCTATGTTGTTTTATTTATTCCTGTGGAATATTACAAATTTGTATTTGTACATAAGTTATATTGATAAATATAATCAAAAATGCGGGTAGTTTCATAAAGCTTGATAGTAAATAATAGTTCTTTTTTATATTTTTTTGGTATGTAGTGTCTTGTTCTTGTTTGTTTTGTATTAACACATACCGTTTTTATTAAATAAAATAACTCGATTACATTTTTTCAGTTTTATACAGTTTTTTTTCACAATATTTTGAAGTAATCACTTGTCATCTTGTCAATCAAATTTTAAATATTTCCTGCTATGCGTTCCAGTTGTACCAACTTATTTCTTTGTAAAATAAAATAAACTACTTTGAAATTAAAATGACAGACACATCTATCACTGTCAAGGATCTTCTCGTTGGACAGACTATAGTTGTATAAAGCTGGTAAATCTAGATGGAAATTGTAGCAGAACTTAAATTAACAGTGACACTATCGCGTTGTATTGTGTAACTATTGTGTAGCGTGTGGTAGATCTCGGCAAAAATTGAGTGAAATAATGGAACAACTTTTCGCTAGTAAGTGACTATATAATATACATACGTGTAGTAAACCGATATATAATATAAATTATATATTTTTCTTGCATTTTAGCTTTTATTTATTACTTGTCAAAGATTAGATGTCAAAGAATTTAGATACGTTAATTTGACTTACCTGCTTCAGTAGCGTATCGGATGTTTGTGTTAATAAATACTTATTATAACTTATCTATTTTATTAGAATATATATATTTTATAACAATTTTATATATAACTACCAACATTTATTCACAACGTAAAATAAAACAACAAATTATTGAGTCTACCCCACGTCTACCCTACTCATAGTTTTACATTTTTAAATAAAATTAGAAAAACACTGATAAACCGGAATTTAAGTCGGCCATAGTCTTCTTATTCAAAGATGTGAACTAATCTGTTCAAGGTCACATAAAACTTAATTCCAGTCACGTGGTGTTTCAAGTCATATAATAATCAATATATAATCTGTTGTAATTTGTTGTTTGGTATGTCAAAGTCTTGTCAAAACATATATTTGGTTATAAATATAAAATGGAATGCCCCATTGGTCGCACTGCAAGCACACCAATGGACTGACGCACAAAAACGAACCAATCAAAGAAACGCGATATAGTATCGTCTTTGTCAATCACGCTAACATTTTAGAATAAGTAAAAGGAGCGGAGGTAGATGATTAGACTGGGCCTTTAAAAACCTACGTCTGCGGTAAAAATTTACGTTTTTAACGTAAAAATGATGGCGCGCGTGTGGATTCTAATTTCATCAAGCGATGAATCACTCCCAAACATTCGTGGCGTTTACTATAGTTTTATGCTAGGAGCTACAGATGCCCGACGCACTAGTGCCGGACCCTGTATAATAAATACCGATTATGATCGAAAAAAAAACGACGTCCAGTTGGCTTGGAAATGACGATCGATGACATTCCCCACATAATTTTACATATAACATGTCAGCGATCTTCTTTTGACGCCGTTTGTAATGTTTTTTTTAAATGGTATACAATGTTTTTCTTTATTTGGCTATACCGGGTGCGTCTCAAAAGTGGCTCACCTCTATAGCTTTTTATTTTTTTAGTGAAAAAAACAGATTTGGTATGTTAATATATGACATAAATTAGGATTGATTGACGTATTCAATTGTTTTCGGTCACTTCCGGTTTCACCGGAAATGACTACAACTTTTGATTTTTAAATGGCACCCCGGGATTTTTTTACTTTATTCGATAGAAAATGTCACTCTGAATAGAATGACATATCATACATCAACTTTTGACATTTTCGCATATGGTTTATTTGAAATTATAACTTGCCGTTTGTAACGAAAATTTGACTTGAAATACCAAGTGTGTGGTATCAAATTATTCGTAAAAAAATGCTTTTTAAATATATGTTAATGAGCCACCCTCGTTCCATTTGAAAAAATTGAGATATGATTAAAAATACGATTTGAGCATTTTCTAATTGGCCAAGACAAAACACTAAAAACATTAGACCATCAAATCTATTTTTCTAAGGCTCCTTGATGAAGAATTAGTGTTTTTAACATAGTCATGGCACTCTAGATTGAATTGAAATACGATTTTTTATTAAGCGAGAATGTCAAAGTTCACATATGTATGATATGACATTCTGCTCAGAGAATATGTCATTTTATATCGAATAAAGTCAAAAAATACCAAGAGTGTCATTTAAAAATCAAAAGTTGTAGTAATTTCCGGTGAAACAGGAAGTGACCAAAGACAAATGAATACACCAATCAATCCTAATTTATGTCATATACTAACATACCAAATCTCGTTTTTTTGATCTGAAAAAATAAAAAAGTTATAGGGGTTGAGCCACTTTTGAGACGCACCCGGTATTTATAATGTGATTAAAAATGCCAGCCGTATTTTCTTACCACTTCTTCCAAAGAAAATTGCTTGGTTGTGGCCAAAAGTGAACCATTCAATGTAATTGAGGATGTACCTTCAAAATACAACCTTTCCCCATCACAGCCTCTTAGATTACTGAAAATATAACATCCTAAAATCAGTAGCAATAAATTAATGAACACACTCAGATTATACAGGGTGTCCCAGAAATAAGTGCAAGTATTTTAACTGGTACTATAGTTCAATCACAGAAACAGGCCTATGAGTTTTTTTCGCAAAAAAAAATGTTCGGAATTTTTTGGATTTTTTTTAGTTAAAAAATATAATTTTTCGATAATATGGCAACATAGGTAGTAGATTAAATTTACACGAAAGAAAATCCGGAAAAGATCCAGTGGTTCTCAAAATGTGAGCAAAAATCATTTTTTTGGAAATTTTCAAAGTAAAATAACTCCGTTATTTTGGACTTATTTGAAAAACGATAAAGAGAAAATATGTTTCTTTTATCGAGATCTACCACCCCTTAAAATACTTGCACTTATTTCTCGGACACCCTGTATAGTTCTCACCCCCACACTTCATTGTAGCATTTTTAACTAGATCCGATAAAATATAATTTTTTCTAAGTTCAGTATGGCTGCCTGAGCCATTACAAATAATTTCAACCCCATCCATAGATAATGGAATATGCTGGCTTGCAGCACACCACAGCTCTTCGCAAATCTCGAACCCTAGTATACAGTGTGGTTAAAAAACAATTCGTAGATTTATAATTCTTTTTTTACCTATACAAGTATCTAGTGTCGATATAACAGCATCACCAATAGGAACAGTTTTTTGTCCTGTTATTGCTGATATCATTCTAGGTAAATAAAATTCTTCAGTAGTTCTCTCCTACAATAATTGTATAAAAGTCATATAGTCTGTTCAATGGATCAGGGAAGATTTTGACAAGCGACATCCAAAAATGCCATAAAATACAATTTGCATGTGAATTAAAATGGCAGACGCAACTGTCACTGTCAGAGTTGCTCCAGTTGGACAGATTCTACATTAATTGACAAGATTGTAATTGATAAGAACAAAATTGATCTCTTGAATTTTTCTTGAACATTGTACAATTATTATCAATAAAAAAATAAAAATTAAAAAAAAATAAAGCCCTTCTCGATATTCATGTATGTTCGTTCATATTCTAGCGATTTTGAGATATGCAGTGTATTAGTTGATTTATTTTTTTCTCGAAAACTGTTCGGGTGTTTCATTTTGGTTGAAATCATATGGTATCTCCGTTATTAGTGTTTTATATTTAGTGAGGATGGGAGGATGCGGTTTGCACAAACCTCCCATTTTTTCTCAAACGGAAGATGCTGTAAACAAAATTTTCATAGCCCTCTTGGTTTCTGAGCTACATGGTCTTTTCGAAACTCTTGCAATTTAGGACAGCCCCCGATCTCCGTTATTATGGACGATATCGAGAAGGTAAAAACTGATTCTTGTAGAACATTTTACGTAGAACAGTGGTGTAGTGTGTTTTTCTACAACAAAAATATTTTTGAAAATATAAAGTTATGTTTATTACATAACATACATAAATATTATGTTATGTTATAAATCATATATAATCCGCCTTGCTATGGGTTCCTCAAAAATATATATCCCTCTATATTTATTTTCACTATTTACTGCAATATTTAAAATATATCATTTTCTTATTAGTAGGCCGTGATAAATAACAAAAAAAATCAAAATGGTATTTACTAAAATAGTAATACACATTAAAATTTTATTTGGGATTGGTATATTTTACTTTTGAAATGTTACCACTGAATCTCTGAATATATTTTTCTTTTTTTATAGCGGAATTTATTATAACAGGATGGGTTTGCAAATATATATCTAAAAGCTTGCATTATTAAAGCATTTTAGTGTTCGACATTGTTGTAGTTGCGATGATATATTTCATATTTCAAAAATGCCGAATATCAGAAATGGGCTATCGAATTCATTGATTTGAGAAATAATAGTTTAATAAAATTCTAATATTTTCAAAGTTGTAAGGGGGAGCCCCATCTTACTGAAAGCAACTGAAAGTATGTTTCACGTAAATTAGCTAAAGGTTCTAATTATATATCTTTAGATATAATTCTAATTATATCTAAAAGTTCCGGTACGATAGCTTCCAATATTTACAAATAGCGGTAGAGAGTTAAAAGCAGTTTTCCAATATATAAGAATATATTGAAAAAGAATTTATTAGTATTGGGAGCCACAAAATAAAACAAGAAACAGAGAGTAGTATAATAATAATTCTTTAGTTTCTTTTGGTGGCCTACTAGTGGCCTACTAATAAATATGATCTTATGATCTAATATTTTTTTTAAATATTGCAGTAAATAGTGAAAATAAATATAGGGTGATATATATATTTTAGAGAAGCTTATGGTAAGCCAGATCATATAATTTATAAATATACAGGGTTATTTAAGAAAACACAACTTTAATTCATATCTTTAAAAATATTTTTTTTCATAGAATATCAGACTACGCTACTGTATTCTACGTAAAAAGTTATACAGTAAAAAGTTTTCACCTTCTCAATACCTTTAACAATAACAAAAATACAGGGGGTGTTCTAATTTGCAAAATTTTCAAAAAGTTCCTGTAGTTCACAAACGAAGAGGGCTATGAAAATTATGTTTACGGTATCTTCCGTTTATAGAGTTCCGGAGATACCGTATGATTTCAACCAAAATGGTACCCTGTACAAGAAAAACTCAAGAAATCAGTCTTGTTAAAAAAGAATAGACAATCAGGGGAATTTTTTTCTTAAAAAAACAGTGGCGTACTATTTACTTTAATAAAATAATCCAGGGGTGTGTGCGTAAGGACGCCACTGGCTCAAGTTGGAAAACAAGAGTTAACAAAAGTTAAGTTGATACGTGGAAGTCACATAACAAAATTAAAAAAAATATCTCAAGTATCTTCCGACATAATTGCAAAAAATTGAACTGAACCTAACACCCTGTAGATCAGAAAGAAAATGTACACCCCATGTTTATATGAACTTTTTATCTTAAAAATATACGAGAAATATCACACCCTGACTTCATAGAAAAAACCCTGCAAATGATAAGAAAATTAAAAAATATATATAAAAATACCTTTTTCCATGGTGAGAACCATCTGCTTTCCCTATAGTTTCCATCTTCAGCTAATACTTTTTTAGGTCTTATTAAAAATATCTTCTGATTCAAAAATATCACCCTAAAAAAATTAAATAATAAAACCATGAAACAATATGTATGTATAGTAATATTACACCAGTATGTTGCGTTCAAAAGAGTCGGTAGTGTAAAAGAATATACATGATTTTGACATTCGAAAAAAAAGTCTATTTTTGAAACACCTGTCAATGTCACATATATGCTTTTTCTAGACAGACAATATTATTTCTATACCATGTTATTGTGTGTTACCTGCAATTGTAGGCTACGTTTTTATGCATTACAGGCATGCCAACATCGATTAAAATGTCTTTACAAAGAGGAGCATTTAGTAATTCAGCCAGCGCTTCCCAAGAATGTAGAAATGTATCACTTTCATAAAAGTGATCTTGGCAACTGTAACCACTAAAAATAAATTGAATAAATGATTACTATTCACGTAGTTTGTATATTTATTACCTTCTGTATTGTATAAAAAGCATCCACAGTAATGGATTATTATATTATACACTCAGATGCAAAAAAACGCAACGGAGAAATTTTTGGTCAAATTTAAAGTGTTATACTTTTGTTATTTTTATCCCTATTTTCATGTGTTATTTAGCAAGCTGTATATAATTATGTCAACTTTAATTTGTAAACTGAGTTTCTTATAAGTTTTTGTATTTTCCATATGATATATAGGGATAATCGAGATGTTGTTTTTTTACAGTAACACACTCTGTGCAATAATTTCGTGTGTAAATTTTCCCAAAAATATAATTTCAGAATCAGCGAACCATTACTCCTGAGCATTTTGATTTTTGATTTATGTCAATATACATGTTTTGGTTAATTTTTAAGAGCAAAATGAACTGATCGCGATCAATTTGCAATTTTTTCAATTATCATTACTTTTTGATAAATTTTTTTAATATGACGAGATGGTTTTAATGACTATTGTGGTAACGTCGAATATATAGCGCTGATCAAATATCGATGTTTCTAAAGCATCGATACGTCTTCCCAGCCCTACAGAACCTAACCTCATTTTCGGTTTGTTTACAAATTGATTTATATTTTTCTTGTTTATTTTTTGTTTAATTTAATAAAAGACCGACAGGAAAGTGCAAGAAAAGTGTCAAGATTGAAATTAGATGTTGAATATGCATTAAATAGATATATTACATAAAAATTCATATTTTAATAAAAAAAAATATAGAAAAATATCGCTGAACTGGATATAGGTAAAAAAAGATAAGAAATAAAGAATATCTGTATAGTAGAGCTGTATAGGGGGGGGGGGCTTAAAAAGTATTTTTAACGTATGAGAAAAATACAAATATTTAGTTATTTACGAATTTAGGTATATACCTAATATTGTTTGATCAATAGTCTATGAAAGTGTAAATTGTGCCTTTATATGACTATTACATCTAACATCTACGTACCATATTTCTAGTTCTGGTCCAGTTCTTAAAGTAGCTCCCATTTCCTTGGCATCTAGAATAGATTGCAAAATTCTATCCAAATTTCCCTCAAAATCCAGAGCCCATTGGTTTAAAGTGGCGGAAGCAACTGTTATTTTTCTTCCCATTTTCAAATCAATTGCTGCACAACGTTACCTTGAAATATTTTCTTCGCAATGCACGGTATTTCAATATAGAGTTTACTCAAGATAAGTTTAAATAGGAATTGTTTCTTTTTCAGTTATCTTATTTGCGATCAGCTGTGATCAGCATATTGACAATCCGGTGTACACGCGCATACTCGAAAACCAAGGTTTGAAGCTTAGGTTTGAAGCGCGGTATTTATGAATGGGAGAGATTGTTTTGGCGATGGTTGGCTATGATTGTATTCGAAAATACAGTAAGAATAAAATGAATCAAACAAAGGTAATTCAAATCAGGTGTTTTTACGGTAATGATTAATACGGATATAATTAAAAATAGAAATTAGTCTATTAGCAGTTTTCATAAAATTAAAAAATTATAAAGCGGCAGAACTAATTTCCATTCACCATTTTGTCAAGATACAGTAGAGTGCGATCCCTATAATAATTTATATGAGATCTGTCTATATGTACTTAGATTATAATGCATTACCTAGAAAGTAATCGAAAAAAAAAATCACCCCTTTAAAATTTGGGGAAATTATAACTAGCCGATCTGTCCTTTCACATTAAAAATATAAATTAAAAATAATTAGGTGGTAGAATGGTAGAAATCAAAATTGCCAAGGCACTACTAAGTTATTAGATTCTTATTAGAGTAGGTTGAATCCAAAAAAATACACAACGTCATATTTATACAGATTCATTACTCTTAAGTTTTACTATTCTTAAAATGGCGAATTAAAGTGTATACGTTCCATACAATCGAAATAAAAACAACGTCAGAGTTGATTTGAAAATAAAAACCGCAGAGAGAGACATTTTATGTATATGTACGAGTATATACATTTAGTAAATCTATAGAAATTATTATTTTGTAAAACGTATCAATATCATTTTTTAAATTTATTAATTTTCCTTCACCATTTTGTCAAATTACATTACCTTTCTTGACAAATAATAGCCTGATTTTTCTTCACTGAAACAGAAATCAAGAAAATAAAATAGTATATTGTTTTATTAGGAATAAAAATGATACTTTTTGTGCCGAGAACCTATAAGGGTTTAATATCTTTAAAATCTTTGGTTTTTGAGATATTTAAAGATATTTAAATTTGCATGCTACTATAGAATAGATTATTAACACCCTGTACATTACTTTTCAGAATTAATTTTTGTGCTGAGTTTAAAGGTAAAGAAATAAACTTTACTGGAAAATGTTACTACTTTCTTAAATTTATACAGGGGTATCAAAAATTGCTGATTTAATTTAAGGATTTATTTTACATAAAACTTCGTTATTTCAAATACAACACCCTGTATTTTTTATAATAAATCGAAGCTGACTCAAATGCTCTTTCAAACTATGTTACGGTTTTCTATACCCATCTAGCTCAGATTTTGAATAAAGAGCAATTTTTTCAATAAAATGGCAACCAAGAGGGCTAGTGTCGTCATGGCAGGTTTTTATTGACAGTTAGTACCTATTTTGAAAATCGAAATTAGTTTATGGACTTATTTAAATTTATACCAGTTTACTTTTATTTAATTTACCCTACAATAGTTTAATAAATAATATTTATTAAATATGTATTTATTATTCTATCAAGAAAAACGAAGAAGTAGTTCTTTGATTTATTTTACGATGACTTGTACATATGGATTTTCTATAAAAGAGACAATTACGGCAAATTCATTTTCTTCACTTCCAACGAGAGGTTTCTGTCTCTAACAGGTTTTTTTATAAACCACATCTGCGAAATAGGGCGAGTAGTTTTTCAAAGAAACGCTTATCAGGAAGATTCCTATTTTTGGATACATTTGAGCATAAGCTCTTGCTGCTCTTGAGACCAAGAAGCAATTTTCCTCACAAAATCAAATCACTAGGAACATATCCATTCGTTTCGCCTGCAGATACTGCTTTATTTTTCTTGATAAAATAATGAATACTTACTTATTAAACTATTGTAGGTAAATCTAAGTAAACTGTTATAAATTATAAATAATAATGTCCATAAACTAATGTAGACTTTGAAAATAGTTACTAACTGTCACTGAAAATTGTCATGGCGACAGCAGCCATTTTGATTGCAATTTTATTAAAAATCGCTTTTTATGCAAAATCTTAGCTAGATAGGTATAGGACACCCTAATATAGTTTGAAAGAGCATTTGAATCTGCTTCGGTATATTTAAAAAAATACAGGGTGTTGCATTTTAAATAACGAAGTTTTTATATAAAATAAATTCTTAAAATAGATCAGTAATTTTTGAAACCCCTGTATAAATTTAAGGAAGCAATGCCTTTTTTCAGTAAAGTTTATTTCTTTACCTTTAAACTCAGCACAAGAATTAATTCTGAAAAGTAATGTACAGGGTGTTAATAATCTATTCTATTGTAGCATACAAATTTAAATATCTTTAAATATCTCATAAACCAAAGATTTTAAACATATTTAACCCTTATAATAAATGCCTTTTTTTGGGCTCAAGAATCCAAAAATGAAATAAAATACCGTGTGTTCCATAAGAAAAAATATAACTTTAGTATGGATCTTAGTTCTGAAACACCCTGTATATTTCAAAATAATTTTAAATTGTGCACATTTCCTCCCCACATATACCCATAAAATATTTTGTTTCTACATCTTTTCGTTTTCGTATAATCAACCGAGGCGAATGAGGTGCGCCACCCTGTACAGGGTGAGTCTTAAATAAGTGCAGATATTTTCCGGGCTGGTAGTTCTTGATAAAAGAAACTAATTTAAGTCCAAAATAACCGAGTTATTCCAGTTTGAAAAAGTTTAAAAAATTTATTCTTCTCAAGAAACTTTCCTATATTTCTCCAATTCGCATTCCTCATCAGCGGCAATTCGGCTCGCCTCTTCTTTTTCTTCTTCTTCTGTTCCCTCGGCCGGTTCACTTCTTTAGGCCACGGCAGGTTGTTGGCCTCGGCAGGCCTGGCCGCCACTTCCCGGTCTTTCACGGCCAACTTGCCAAGCGTGTTCGCTCGTCGGTTTTGGGCGAAGAAGTGAACGCCACAAACGACGACGCCATTATTCTCCCATCGCGCGAAATGGGTCGCTTGCCTTTTTTATTATTATTTAACCGCGGATTTTTTTTAACAACGATGAGCGTTCGTTTCTTCTACGACTGGGATGACACTTTAAGGTGGATTTTAACCAAAAGGACTTAATCACAAAAAAATTGTTTACAAAAACACAACCATATTTTCAGTTTTGAAAACAAACTCGAAAATTGAATTAAAACCGCCTCTTTTGTTTTGAAAATTAGTTTCTAGACGAACAGGGGCGCCTAGGGATTTTGTATTTTAAAAGTAAAGAATAATATCATTAGAAATAAATACATTTTTTGAATAATACGTTTACATGAATTTCTCTCTCAATAAATTTGATAGACTTGGTTATATCAAGGTTATATCAATTCGTGTTCCCGTGGATTACTTAAATACCTACAAATTTTGAAAAAAATAAAAACTAACACACATTTCTTGAACAAAGAAAAATAATATTAACTAAATAAAAATGAAAAATAATTTTTACTACATCACAAGCAAATAAAAATGAATATTTAGCCTCATCGTTCAGTTAAAATTCAAGATTTCTATGGGGGTGCCCAGCAGTACATAGCGGGGCCAGGCACCCCCGGGCACCCCTGTATTTACGCCAATGTATATTCTTCATATACCTACAGGGTCCGGCAATAGTGCGTCGGGCATCTGTAATTCTGTAGCTCCTAGAATAAAAAACTTAGGATTTTTGTTTAAGTGTAATCTTAAAGTATGTACTGGGATTTATTTCAGGAAAATACTTTAACTTCTACAGTTGGCACTTACTGCATTGCATTTTTGGCTTCCTTTCACATCACTTTGCATAATGCTAAGATATGAGTAAATATATATTTCCGAAATTTGAGAGATATTAATAAATAAATGAAAAAATTATTAAAAATACAGGTCCTAAAATCAATAACTTTAGATGGTCTGTACATACTGTGCTATACATCTTGGGATCTTAAATCATACAGGGTGTTCAAAATGCTGCGTCAAACTTTCTAAAATATAAAATAATTTTTCTTAATTTTTTTAAATGGAACACCCTGTACATGATCTGTTTAGTAGATGGCGAATAAGAATAAACAGTTTTTGTATTTAGAATATTTCAAAATTTTTAACGGTTTCGCAGATATTCGCGGTTTTATATTTCATATGACATTTTCCACTTTAAAAAAAATGAAGAAAAATTATTTTATATTTTAGAAAGTTTGGCATAGAATTTTAAACACCTTGTATGATTTAAGATTCCGAGATTTTTAGCAAAGTAAGTACAGACCATCTAAAATAAATACCTAATATAGTTTTGATTTCAGGACAGTTTGGTTTGGTAGTTTTTTAAGAAAAGCCGAAAAAAATAATACATTTTTTATTTATTTATTAATATCTCTGAACTGCTGAAATATATTTACTCATATCTTAGGTATATGTAAAGTGATCTGAATGGAAGCTAAAAATTCAATAATATAGGTACAGGGTGTTCCATTTAAAAAAAAATATCCCGATCTACTCACACTGTTTTGAGCCACCCTGTAGAAGTTAAAATATTTTCCTAAAATGCATCCTAGTACATACTTTAGATTTGCACTGAAACAAAGTTTCTAAGTTTTTTATTCTAGGAGCTACAAATGTCCTACGCGCTATTGCCGGACTTTGTAGAGGTATAAAAAACAGTAGATAACTTTTAAACACTATTGTTTTTCGAAGTATTCTCCACGAAGAGAAATGCATTTTTGCATCTGCTGGAACTGACTCTGAAAGCAGTTATTTCCTTCAAAATTGCGTTTTTGAGGCGCTATATCTTTTGGGGACTGAAATCTTGGACCACGCAGTTCGTTTTTGGAAAAGTAAAAAGGGACTGTATGGATAATGGTTCAAAAATTTGATGTTTTCTTGCTTTAAAAACTCAATTGTTTTTCGAGTTGGGTGGGAGCTTGCATTATTTTCGTGGAGGATCATTCGGTCGTTGGGGGCTGGTTTTTCAAAACTCAGCAATTCCTTCCGACAAACATATAGATATGTACCAATCAGCAGTAGCAGTTCTTTGATCTTGCAGAGGATTTGTTGTTACA